TTACGGCGCCTTATAAAAGCATCTTTGCACCAGAAACCACATTGTACATTTACAGTCACAAACTTCAATGTGTTCTTTGGTTTTTATGATGTTGTTTGTTCTCTAATGTTCTCTAACAAACCTCAGATGACCTTGACAGAACAACAGGATTTATGCACAGGTTAAATTACACTCTGTTGGCTCCAGAGTTGGGTAGTAATTACTGACATTTTGTCTCAGGGTAGCCAAGTGATAGGGGTGCTAGGAAACCCTGGAAGTAGTGCTACTCTTTCATAACTGTAATTTTTTGGTACTTTACCAACCTCTGGTTGGCTCTGTTTACTAATTATGTGTCTTCTCAGGGATACAGGAAAGTTCCTGTACTGCTCTGTCTTTTTTTAATTGATTTTAACTCGTACTTGTTGGGTCTTCAGAGATATTGTACTCATCTCAGTGTGGCAGTCGATGCAGCCACCAACTGTTGTGTCCGAAAACATCATTTAGACTCTGCTGGATAGAATGTGTCCTCCAATTTAGTCCTCCGAAATCACATTCCTGCCTCAAGCACTGCTTTCCAATCCCCTTCTCTCTCTACCCCACCGCACCAGCCGAGCAGACGGCACTTCTTTCCGAGTCAGAATCAATTTGACCCGCTGGAAACTGGTGCAGAGCCGACGAGCTATGGGTGGTGCAGCACTGTGGCTAAAACATAGGGGCTGCTAAACTCGTAGTGACATCTTTGCAATCATTGTCAGACAACTCCCTGATGCTTTATCTCCTTTAAGATGAGCATTTTTCTGCCATGTCAGTTCACTGAGCTATAACTGATGGGGGAAATGATGAGAAAAGGCCTCAAGTGTCAAAAAAAAGAGCTGAATGGAAAAGATGAAAAGATGGTCTTGGTGTCGAGATGTAAATAGTGGCTTTAAGGAGCTTCCTGTAGCGCAAACATTCAAAACATAACTCGATACTCATTTCAGGGTAATAAACGGATGTGACAAAAGTAAGTATTGGAGTAGATTAATTAATGGATTAATGAATTTGTGGTACACTGAGGAAGTAGAAGATTTATGGTGCACATATTGTTCTGGATAGATGTGTTAGAGGAATCTCTAACATAAATTAATCTTTTATAATCTCTAAATCATTTAGAAAAACTTAACTTTTCTAAAATTGGATTAGAAAGTTGGATTCCTCTTTCGGCAATTTGCCGATTGACAGCACAGGCTAAATTACAAATTTTTATCTCTTTTCAGTGCTCCATCTGGGCTTTCTCCCATTGACTTAGATTTTTCTGGTAGAATTTTGACCAGACAAATCAGCGAACAGAAGAAGTTGTAAACTATGACATTGATTTTCTGTGCTGTTTTAGAATGGTAGACTGCCTGTAGTTTTATCAATGGCAGTCCAGGAAGTGAATGGAGCTGTTCAGTCAATGTTAGCCACACTTTCACCTATTGAATTAACATCAACAGCTGCCTTGTTTGGTTCACTTCTTCTCTCATTGCAGTGGAGGATGATTATTTGTAACGTAGGTAATTTCCAGTAAGCTTCATAGCATTGAACTGGCACATTTCATGTGTCCTGGCCAAACATGAGCTTTTGGGTAAAATTTAAAGAGGCCATGCCTCCAGGAAGTAATCATTTCTCAATTTCTCAATAGACAAAGGTTCACATTGTCTGTACGAAGTGAGGCATAGAACATGGGGCTGGTTTTTGCCACCCTAGTTTTCACCAGCCTAGTTCCTAAGGGCATAAGGTAAATTTTCTGAGTCATTAGTCATTAGTTATTCTTTGTTTTACGCTTCATAATACTGGAGTGTTTGCAGTGAATGTTCCAGTAGAGGTGAGCAAACTCCACACCTTATGTAGGACAGAAAAGTACCTTGCCTCTCAACCAGCCCTTTGGCTCTTAAAAAGCTTCAAATGGATGTTACAAAGACTTGGTGAAGCCAAGATGGCACTTTGATGTTTCAGTTTTCCAGAGACTCTACCTTCCCTTAGAATGCTGCCTTTTGTACTTTGTGACTAGATATATGTGGGTCCTCACCAGGCTAATGGCTGGACCTCGTAATATTTACACTGCAGAGAAACAGAGTGCCATGGAAGTTTGTAGAAATTCTGATTGATCTGAAATGTACAAATTATGGCGATTCCTCATTAAATACTTTTGAAGATCGCAATACTGAACTCCTCTTTGAACATCAGGTCCATTTGCTGCTAATCACACTACTTCTTCATGGTCAAAAAGTCCCACACTGGATTCCACGTGTTATGATACTTCTAGGTTCCTGCAAATAAAGTTTTATCTCACCAGTTGCTTTCAGATGCAGTACAAATCTGGGGCTCACATGGTGGGCCCAGGAAGCCTATGTTCTGGGGGGTTGCAGCACAGAGCAGCAGGTGTTGTGTGTTATCTCCTCTGCAGCAAAACCAGACACTGTTTGCTGCAATCAGATCTGGAGCAGATGGCCACAGAGTGTTTTCCTACCAACAGCTCACTCTGCAGCATTCAAGGCAGTCACAGACAATGAAAACAGTAAAAGGCTCATTGCATGCCCCATTTTGTTTTACTGTCTTCGTTTATTTTTTGTTTGTTTATTTGTTTTTGTCATCTCTGTGGCTAGTTTGTTGTTTATGCACTACCTTAATCTAAGAAAGAAAGCCACATTTGGCTCCAGTGAACTCTCAGGATTTCTGCGGATATTTAAGATGAAACCATGTGTAGTAGTAGTTCCCTGTCCAGTTACGGAAATTTTTGATATTCATTGATTATTTGTGTAGCACTTGTCCTAAAGTGTTCTGAAGAAAACTTGCAGAGTTGCCATGCAGGGGTCCGTAGAGGTTAAAGATCATGATACTGTCAGCTACACATGACAGGTGGACTTTATCTTGTGGCTTTTAAATCCTGACTTTTTATGTCAGTATACCTCGATACCACTAACCAGCCCATGCTGTAGCTAATAAAAAGGCCAAAAATTTTATTATATGCTGAAGATTAAAACTGCTTTAGAAACAAATTAGTTCTAATTCATCACATTTCCATTGCCTTACATAACCTACATTGCATAATAAGCTAAAAATAGGTCACAATTTGGCTGATGGCCATCCTGCAAAAACATTAGCTCTGAAAGAAAGGCTCTCATACTGAAGCAAAAATAATTATACAGAAATAAATTTTGCTTATTTCATAGAGACTTCTATTTTGATTTGTTGTGTTGTATAAATTTTGCCTCTATTGCGATAAGCACCCAACACCAACATGTCACACCGGATTACATTATATCCTGGCTTCCCAGTTACCATGTGGCACTGATATTTATCTTAAGCACAGTAAGAAATGAGATTACAAGCAGATTTTGCTTCCTTGTGGTTCCAGTGTTGAATTAACTCTGAACAGATGGGGGAAAATAGCAAGAAATTTGAAGGTGATAAAAAGAGTTGTCATGTCCCTCAGTAGGGTTTTGTGCTTTGGGTTATTACAAGAGTTTTTTCTGTCAGAATCAGAAAATTGTTCTTATACTTTTGGAAAGACATTGTCAATTGCTTGATGTGTCTCTCTTGTGATTTTGTTGAAGTGATGGCCTGCGTTTTCCTGGGAGGATGCACAACATGTGCTGCAACAGGATAAATCCTCTCCCACCCTTCACCAGTAGGTCAGCAAAGTTTTGTTCAGGAGTTCCTGCTGTATTGTGTCTGGCGCTGGGTGGGGTGTTCTCGTGTTAAAATCCATCTACACAGGATCTGACATACATGACTCCACAACTGGTTCACACGTCTCTTAGCAATGAGTCACAGTTTCATTAGGATTTGATGAAAAATAACATTTAAAAGGTCAGGTCATAACCTCTTCACCAAAGCCCACAAAAAAAAAAAAAACAAAGCAAAACTTGAACTATCCCTTCAATGTCAAGTTCTTCATAATTAAGCTGGTGTCAGAAGCTGATGTATAAATTTTGAAAAAACTATGGCATACCTTAAAACAGGGTACCTTTAACTGTTTATGTGATGACCTCACTACTTTTTGCAAGGTTTCTGCAAAGTCTGAAATGAGCTTCAATCATTTTTCTAGTCTAGATAAGTTCGGATAAACGTTTGAGTTTTCTGATTTAAAAACGTATTTTCAAAAATCTAAACAACTGCTAAACAAAACGAATTGATGCTGTTTGCATCAATTTGTATTTTAACGATGTTTTTCTTTGTTTTTAAATTTTTTTACACCACCAGCTGAGGTTGACTTTTTAACTATCAGTTGTATGATTCCTGAGTTGCTGCTCAGTAGAGCAGTGGTTAGCTCATCCAATTCCTCTGTGTGTGTGTGTGTGTGAGGGGGTGGGGGGTGTACAATGTTGTTACTCCTGTGCATCTCTATGTTGCCTGTGATGGACTCGCCACTTGTCCAACATCTATCTCTGGTTTAGATATAGGCAACTTAGGCTTGATGCCTAAAAAGCTGAAACATTGTCCTTTATCCCAGTGTCAAACTAACAGACAAATTCTGACAAAAAAATCTTTGTTTCTGTTTCTAAGTCGTGATTTCTGCTTTTATTCCTATTTTATTTTTGTCAAACTGCTGTGTTTAGTATGATTCCTGACTTTGAGCTTTTGATTTGAGGACTAAGTTGAAGCCCTTTGTCTCATAATCCTGTCGAATATCTCCAATCTTCTGTTCCTCATCATTTGTGATTTTTAGACTTTGGTGGATTGGGAGACACATCACTGCACTTTAATTGGCAGTAGCTATGTGAGGTGAAAGTTTGCCACCTTCTGGAGGAATTGTGGCACTGCTTTCCCATAATGCTTTACTTCTTTATCTCTACAGTACAGGCCTTTTTTTCATATCTTGTGATTGTGTTGGATAACATTTTGTTTGTAGGTGTTTCTGTCACCTACAAATGAAGGCATAACTTCATTTTCTGTAGGGTAAATTAAGTTTTTTCTTCTCTCTGCAGGAATTAAAGCTATGTTTCAGAAACAAAGTATTTCTAAAAGCTTATATTCTTTCCTCTTGTGTCTTTCAGGTGCAGATTTCCTCATTGTTGTTTTCCAGTGGGTTCATGGAGGGGTTTCCTGTGCACTGACCTAGCAGGCTGCTCACTGGACCAGCTGCCATGTCAGCTTGCAGCACCTTCACCGAGCATGTGTGGAAACCAGGCGAGTGCAAGAACTGCTTCAAACCAAAAAGTCTGCACTGCTTGACTCAGAGCAGCGGGGGGAAGCCCCCTTCTGAGCAGAGGCCACCATCAAACCAACAACAAAATCCGCTTCCTGCTGGGACCAGAGCTAACCCCAACCTTACCGCTAACTCTCAACGAGCTACACGTACAGCACACATCCGCCCTCCTGTGGCCAAGAAGCCAACCATTGCTGTGAAGCCCACTATGATGCTGCCCAGCTTATCTGCTGGACTGGATTCAGATGGCAACCTGCCGCAGCAGACAAATGCAATAGAACAAGGTAAAACATCGGCTTTTACTGCTTGGAACCGCAATGGACTGAACAGTAAAAGGCCTGGTGGGCCCAACAATAACAATGAAGGAGAAGATGACAGTGAGGAAATTGAAGGTTATGGACAACTCAGCCCAAGGACACCCAGTGGAAATAATAATAACAGCGGACTTACAGATGTCCTTAAAGAGATTGCTGGGTTGGGTCCAGGCACTAGCCCCACACTCCTTTCTGGTTCTAAAGACTTATTTTGGGGGCGAATCAGTAGCTCATATCGTAGGTCCTTAGAACGAGGTCTTCCAGCTTCCAGCTGTCTGGCTATGGGAAGCAGTAGCAGCGAAGGTGGCGCTCAGAAGCGGGTATCGCTTAGTGATTGTACCAAGATCATAAGTTCAGAGGGTGGACGTTTCTGCTACCCAGAGTTTTCCTGTGATGATGAGGATGAAGAGGAAGATGAGGAGGGTGAAACTGAGAAAGATGATGATGAGGAGCATGAGAGCTGGGATGAAAGCGACGAAGAACTACTAGCCATGGAAATCCGTATGCGAGGCCAGCCACGATTTGCTAATTTTCGTGCCGCCACCTTGTCTCCAGTGCCCTTTGCAGTGGGCAAAAAATGGAATACGGTGCCCCTTCGAAACCGTTCATTACAGAGGATCTGTGCAGTGGACTATGATGATAGCTATGATGAAATCTTGAACGGATATCCCTCCAATGGAAGCCTTCTTCCCTATGGACCTCGTGAGACACAAAGCAGCGCTTTTCTCTCAAATTCAGAGTCTACAACCTCTCCAGAATCATCATCATCACTACAAGAAGACTCTCAAACTATTTCCAGTAGTGGAAGCAGTGTGTTTAAAAATGGTTTGCTTTCACCTATGTCTTCCAAGGCAGTTGCACCGTGTACAAACCCCCCAACAAAAGAGTCTCCCAAAAGGGCTCTAAGTCCACCCAAGGTGGCTGAGACCCACAAGGCAGTGCTGGCAATTAGATTAGAGGACCAGGATGGCAAGGAAGGGATGCCAATGCCTCAAGCCCTTCCTGGACAGCCAGTTACGATAAGTTTTAGTCCTACAGAGGAGCAGGCTAAACCATACCGTGTAGTTAATTTAGAAAAATCTCTCATTTGTAAACCTTACACTGTGGTAGATGTCTCGGCATCGATGGCCAGTAAAGATGAACAGAAACACGATTCGTTGCCACGACCCAAAAACCTGCCAAAACCCTCAAGTCCCACATCATTCTGTAGCACTCCTTTAGTCCAGCCCCTCTCGCCGGTGTCTCCTCTTTCCCCGTCTTCTCCTTTGAGGTCAGTATCACCTTCATCCATCGCTTTGTCACAAAAGAAAACCGGCCAAATACGATACCAAGAAGTATGGACATCAAGCACGAGTCCTCGGCAGAAGATGCCTAGAGTGGATCCGGGGAGTAATTCTGGCCAATCTGTCACTCCTCAGTTTTGCAGTCACAAGTCAGCTCCCACCTCTCCTATATCAGGCCTGTTGTCCTCTCGAACTGTACCTGTAAAATCTCCAAATTTATCAGAGATCAAGTTTAATAGTTTCAATAACGCTGGCATGCCTCCTTTTCCTATCATAATCCGAGATGAGCCGGCCTATGCCCGTAGCTCTAAGAATGCAGTCAAGGTACCTATTGTTATCAACCCTAGTGCATATGACAATCTTGCAGTGTACAAGAGTTTCTTGGGTCTTCATGGGGAGCAGTCGCAAACAAAAACAGGTGGCGCTCGGGTTACTAGCCATACCTATGAAGAGATTGGTTCCTCTGAGAGTGTCCAGTCCTCGTCCACGGAGAAAACTCTGTCTGGGAGAGGCACATCAGAGCAGACTTCATTTGAGGAGACAAAATTTTCACTTGAATCAGTGCCAAGTTTGCAAGTTAGAACCACTACAGATTCAAGCACTGTAACAAGCACTGTAATGAGCTCCGCATCTGGGGCCCTTTCTCCCACTACAACAATTTCTTCTGCCAGTCTTGCCATTACTGCAAATCTAGTTAAAACCAGCCCTGCTGCTAATGCTGTTACACACACTTTTAGGATAAGTGGAGATGATGATGATAAAGGTGTAACTTCATCTTCTGGGACAGGTGTAAATCACAGAGAAGAAGCCAGTGCAGTTCTGTCCCAGATTGTAGCGTCTATCCAGCCTCCTCAGTCGCCTCCAGAGTCTCCCTCAGCACAAACCAAAACCTTCAGCTCTGAGGAGTTGTACGCCCTGCCTCCTGACGCCATGGAGGAGACCCTTTCACGACCCAAGTCTCTGTTTTCCACCACTGATGGCTGTCTTTCCAAGCCAAAAAAGGAAAACCCCTCAAAGGTTTTGTCAAAATCCCAGAGTGCCTCTGCTGCTGTCCCACTCGCCAGTCCCCGATCAGAGCCCAGTGCCCCCTACCCACCCCCGAGGTCCACATCCTCCCCTTATTATGCTTCTAACATACTTCAGAGACATTTTGGCAACTGGACAAAGAGCTCTGCCTCGAGCTCCCCATCGCGACCCGGAGAAGGCGAATTGAGCCCTGGCGGGGAGGGGAGACGGGCTTCAGCCGAGAGTTCAAAACCCAAAAGATGGATCTCCTTCAAGAGCTTTTTTCGGCGGCGGAAAGACGAGGACGATCAGAGAGAGAAGGCAGAGAAAGAGAAAGGCAAACTGGTTGGACTAGACGGAACTGTGATTCACGTTCTTCCACCGCCACCTACCCAAAACCAGCACTGGTTCACAGAGGCCAAACCGGAGGATCCCACCCAGAAACCTACCATCATCTTCACATACAAACCAGACACTGGCAGCAGCCCCGGGGATGGCGATGGAGAGCTGCGTATAGAAGAGTGCAGAGAGACTGATCTGCTGGCAGAAGACAGCAGGGACTCTGAACCTTTGAGCCCAGGGCAAACGACACCATCAGAAACTGCTGGAGGAGTCGCCAGCAGCAAAGACCTCAGGTAATATCTGCTTTTTTTTATCTCTTAATCCCTCATCCAAGTATCGCTATAGTATAGATTCTGTTTCTAGCTATAAACTCTCCAACTAAATTTGGTCCCTCATATTGTTTATTTGATTTGAAAGTTTCTTGCTTTGTGACTCTTTTTAATTTGCTTTTTTGTGCTTCATTCATTACCTGAAAATATTTTTTGCTGTGTTTGCTGCTCCAAATACAGCTTGTCTTATGTCCTGCTTTTTAAATATTTAGGATTAGAAAGAACACCAACACACATCTAAAGTACCTTGAAAAAAATTCACAGCATTTTAACCTTTTCACATTTTGTCAAGTTACAACTACAAACTTTTGCACAATTGTAAGGTTTGTATTCAGCCTTCTCCGAGTTTGAAGATGCAACATTTTCCTGCATTTTCATCTTTAAGTCAGTTATTCGCCCCTTTATGCACACATTCAAACACTGATGATTGCAATAAAGTTTAACTTTTCTAGAACTGGACTTAATGTTTGATATATCTGATGTGATCAAGCACTGAAAACCATGGCTGTGTAGCATGTAATCTGACAAATCTTGATATATTTCAAGAAAGCTGATTTTCTCATCTAATTAACTTAAGGTTCAAATTTTCATATGTCAAAAGTATCTTCAATCTTTCTTCAAAACTTGCTCATATGTCCTGATATTTCCTTTTTAAATCTCGCCTGAACTTTGCTCTGTTTTTCTCCTTTTTCTCATTGTTGGTTTTTTTACGCTTGCCTCTGACATTTTGCAAACTGTCAGGGTTGTGTTCAAGATGCTCTGCCCCTTTTCTTTGTTTTGTCTAATTTTGCTGTCCGAGAACTCACTTTGCTTTGAGCCCAAGGCCAAGAAATATTTCACTCCTCAATCCTCTCAAAAGCTTGGCCTCAATCTGTCGGGTTTAGAGTTTTTTGTTTTTCCCTCTTCAACTAGCTGCAGCTGTTGTTGTCTTTTGTTTTCTCTGGTATTTTCAATATATTAATTTCTTCATAAACTTTGTGACTTGTTACAACTTTGCCAAAAAAAAAAAAGCCATAAAGCGGCGTAAAGGAAAAGCTATAAATCTACTTTTTAAATGTCGTAACAAAGACACAAAGATCAAGTTTGTCTTCATTATGCTATCTATATTATATCATCAGACTATTGCTGAAGTTGGAGGTTTTAGAGTATGCCGTAAAATCTGGTAACTCCATTTAAAATTTATATAACAGTTTATTTTAATAGTTCAAACATGAACTTTTCCTTGGTATTCATTAATTTGCACAGTGGAAACAGTCTTGGCACTTCCACAGACGCCAACATCCACATTGTTTGTCATTCCTCCTCTTGGGCGTTCAGCCAATCACGCTACGTTTGCAAAGCAGCATGAATTGCCAGTCAATAGTGTGTGAAGGAATATTGTGCGTAGGTATTTCAGCTTTCCAAACTGCATTAACTATCGAATAGTTTACTCATGCTCTAAAAAAAAAAAAAAAAAAAAAAAAAAAAGGAATAGGTGCATTTTCAACAAATAATCTGGAGTTACATTCCACAGAAAAATCCACAAATAGGTGAACCGTAAATAGAAGGGGGTTCAGTGATAGCAGTTTCATATACTGTCTTCCAGTCTGATATTTCATTAAATGTATGACAATAATGCCACATATGCATGAAAACATTGAGGTAAAGTAACACACTAAATACCATGAGTATTAATCTTTACTCAATCACCAATGATGTGCTGGATGCTGCAATCTACACTACTTGACTATGCCAGAGTTTATGAAGACCACCAAGCCACCTCAGCCAAACTGTTTTATTCTTAACAGGCTTTAGTCATTTAGTGACCTCTGAGGTAGATTTATTGCTTTTAGTAAATCATTATGTTGTCAGAGAAAAAACAGATTTGTTACTTCACAGTTTTGCCAAGCAGTGTGCTCAAAAATAACCTGTGGTTGGTGTGAGTTTCTTCAAGTACTTGGACACTGATCATAGAAGAAAAGCCTAAATCAACAGGGACATTTTGAGTTTACAGCATTCAGGGTCTATTAGTGCCCAGCTTAATCAGTGTTGAGTTAGGGTTGTTACTAAACCGCTGTGCTTGACCTTGTTTGAAAGAAATGTACTCAAGGAATGTTAAGTATTCATGAACAATCACATTCATTTTCGTCCTTAGTTTCTACTAGTTCAGTACTTGACTCATAAAGTTCTAGCTTTGTGACTTTATATTGTTGCTTCCTTTTTTCCTCTTTCAATTTTCCCTCTACATTCTCCTAAAACTAACTCCTGCTAATAGTCACATTTTACCTCCCAACATGAAACTAAATTTCTCTATCAGAGAAGAAAGTGACTCACTTCATGGCTTTCTAAAAAATAAAAACAGACCGGTCACATTGTTTTGGTTGGGAAATAAAGAGTTAACTCAGGAGAATTTTTTTTGGGTTTTTTCTAATCACGTTTTATTGGCGAACAGTGGGCGTGCTCTTCAGGGCTGGCCAGCAAACCTTACCTTAGACAGGTAAGAGCATTCAAAAGGGGAGAGACTAAGAAGAAAAGGAAAAGAGTGTTCCTTTGTGTTTGACGTAGAATGTGATTTCTCCTGCCTTGTCATTCCGAGTTTTCCGATGGGAAGCTGTGTGAGCCAGTACAGTGGGTAAGAACTTGTCTTTTTACACACCTTTGAAACCAACTTGGCCATGTGTGGTGGTGTTGACTTAGCTGGGAGGAAGGAAACTTTCCTTTGTCTTATTTTAGTTTTACATTTCCATCTTCTGGACGTTAGCCGCAGTGTTCTGAGAAAGAGAGAAGCGCTCCGAGACTGCTTGGTGCTGTCTGAACAAGTCAGGTCCTGACATTGAAGTGTGTAGCAGCCATGAAGGTATTCATTGTGTATCCACTCTGAATGTTTTGTGTCGAACAGAATGAACGTATTGAAACATCACCTATCAGGCAGGTTTATGGCTTTTTGTAAATGATTAATGTGGCAGCTCAGTGCAGAATCCGGTTTTGATGTTTGCTTCCAAAAGAAAAAGGAAGAATCTAAGGGGAAATTGAACGTATTTATTGACAGCAGCACAACAAATGCCAGTAATTTACAGTTTAACATTTTGCTTTATTTTATTTCTTCAACAATCACACTCACCATTTTGGCCACCTTTGTGATCACTCCCCTTTTCAACGATAGGATCCTGCAAAGAGCCAAAGTGTCGCTTTGTGTGGATCGGCTGTCTTTCAGAGACTCTAGTTATTTTATGGCCTGCAGGAACACATCTGAAACATGCCAGATGAGAGTCGTTTTTGTCAGACTCCGTGTCTGCTGAGGATGAAAGCAGAATAGGGCGGTCAGAAGCTGAACTTTTGCAACAGGTTTTCTTTTCTTTTCTGACATGCACGTGTCAAAATGAGAAGCTTTTAATTGTAAATCTAGAAAAACTAAGACAGTTTTACTGCGTGGCTGGAAATGCTATGTGCCATCTAGACTAAGGTGAACTGAGCTGGGTTTGTATCTCGATGTGTGTACTTTTGGGGACTTTGATCTGTTTTCATTCCATTAGTCACATTAGTGTCATCCTGCGTCCAATGTACTGTAGCACTACTGATGAAAAATGATACAGGAAGTGACACATGGTTTTGGATATAATTGTTAATATGCCCTTCCTATAAACCAGTGGGTGGGGTAGAAAATTTACTTTTTAGGAGCTTTTTACACTTCAGGCCATGTTTTTCTCTTTTTTATTTTTCAAATAAGCAAGTCAGATTCAGGAAAGCTAAACTGATATAAAGTATAAATGATTGCAGAATAGTCACAGTAACAGGACCTGTTACTGAACTTGTAATGTTACAACACCGTGGCTGGGAAAACAACACACTTGTTCTGTTTTTAAGCTGCTGTTAAGTTCCTTCTAGGTAAAAATGATTGAACATAGGTCCTGTTTGGAAAACAGAGCAGCTTTCCACATCAATATGTTCCGGAAGAAGACTTGAACATATGAGTTAGTCCAAACACTTGAGCTTGTAAATGTTTCCTATTTAAGGAAAATAAATGAAAGCTGGCAGCAAATAGCTTTGCTTTTAAGTAACATTGCAGGTAGGTATTTTAGCTTCTCAAGCTACATTTTCTTTCAAATATTTGAGATGTACTCTATGAAAAAAATGTTTGACTGGTTGAAGAAATCTGTGAATAGATGAATTGGCAGATACTGAATTCTAGTGAAGAATTATATGCAGTCTTAGGAAAGTCACCGAGTGCCTGGAAGTGTCCTGCTAGCCGGAAACATGACCCACATCTCCACTAACTGAGTCAGATCAGCTTTTATTGATTGATCAACCTTCTGTTCTGGTTAGATTATATCTGCTTCCTGCTGTTGTAGAAGTTTCAAAAAGTATTCCACTTCTTTCCAAATATTTCTGATCAAAATTCAGTACCCCCTCACGCTTTTCCCGCACAGCATCACCACACTCCACAGTGACCTACTTTCCCTCACCCTTGCATTGTGTTCCTGCCTTCATGTGTGTCGTTACCTAGAAAACCACTTCACATTTCAGAAGCTTTCATCAGTCCAGTCCACAGCGTGCCGAGGTAGATGTAGAGGTGAAACACTGATTTAGGAGAGTTACAAAAAAAAACTAACGAGGGTAACTGTTGAAAGGGTCTTGATTATAATTCAATAGCAGCTAACTTTGCTCTTCTGCTCTAATGTTTTGTTTCCCTAAATAGCAGCAATTATCATTTGTCAAAAATAGAGTATCTAATAAAAGAAAACAACAACAAAACATTAGATGAGAGGCATACAATTACGGGTTCAATGAAGCAGAATTTTGGCACGTTGCAACACAAATAGCAGTCCCTCCTTCTCTGTCATGTGCAGCCAGGTGCCGGCCAGCCATGCCAGGGAGCGGGAGCTGCCCAGGGTCATCCCTCTGCCTGCCAGAGTGAATCTGGGGCTGGTGTTCGGGGACGCCCACGAGAGCCACGCCAACCAGGCCGCCCCGACTGTTACCGTTAGCGAGGGCAGCGCCAGCCTCGGAGAGCCGGAGGACGATGGGAATCACTCTCATCACTCTCACTCTCCTTCGTCCAGCTGGTGCAGCGCCACCTACAGCAACCTAGGTAAGAATGGCTCATAAGGGGGGGACTAAAATGTAACAAACAAAAACAAACTGTCTCTCAAACAGTTTGTAGTCCTCAAACTACAGCTTATCTGTTGCATTTCTTAAAAAGTCTAAAATTTACATATGTAAAATTAACACCTTGAATTGTCTTCAATTCATTTTCATAAGTAAGTTGGCCTTTAGTATAATAACCATAGGTCTTAAATTTTGTTATGGCAAAACTATTATATTTAATTTAATAATGTGTATTCTTGTTTCTCACTGGACTTGTCTGTCAGGCAGAAGTTTGAGTCGCACTCAGACATCTTGATTGCGTTCTCGAGACGGTTGCATCCACGTTGTGGCTAGCTAGCTTTTAGCATTTATCATGGATGAGTGCAAATTTATCTCCAGTTGGCCGGACAAAATTTTTACATTTCTGTGCAGTCAGGTCTTCCATGTCATTTGTAATCGTCTTAAAAAGTCTAAAATTTGAGTTGGTGAAACCTGCAGAAACCCTGCTGACCAGTAGGTGATGTGTCTCTTATTTTACTTATCTCCAGCTTCAGCACTCTTCTTCTTGGAAGTTATTCCCTCCTAAATCACCTGGGAGCTCCAGTTTATACATATCTGGTTCTTACATAATCTGAATGATAATTGAAACCTTCAACTGTTTTTTACAGTACTGAACATGTAAAACAAATGAGATTCAGTTTTGACCATTTTTACATTTTTAAATATGATTTGCAGCACATTATCCGTATCCATGCACAATCATGCTCCACCTGGCTCTAACCAAGCCGATGCATAATGTACTGTACGACTGACCGCAGTGTTGCTGCTGGCATTATTGCTGTGCTCAGGTTTAATCTGACAGTAATTATAGTGACGTCTTTGTGCTGTGATCCTAATCCTCTGGTCGGATACGGATATTAAAGCTCAGGGTTATAAAAACGGATGTGATGAAAAGCCTTCAGGTGGCCTGCTTACAGGGGAAAGAGTAAAAAAGAGAGAGCATAAAAAGGCTGAGAGGCTCATTAATTCAAGATATTGACCTGCTTTATATTCATCCCCACTGGTGCTGAAGTTGAAGCTTCAGGTTCTGTTGTTAGAAGCAACACTTATTCCTGCTGCTGCTGAAACACCGAACTGATTACCAGCTATAATAGTGTCAGCTGACATTACTATTTAACTGCTGTTGCCTGGACACAGAATAAAAATCTTTAAGTAGCAACCTGATATGTGCTGGTTTATTATTGGACGTTTCTGATCAAATAGTCAGTCAGCATTCATACAGTATTTTTCCAACTTTAGCAGTACCTTCACATGAGTAATATTCAATTTCAGTTTCCTCTTGGTGTAGTTTTTTTCTGTAAATGAAAATGTTTTTTTTTTTCCAGAACAGTTGAAATGGTCTCTTTTGTAGGTGACAGGAAAGTGTGGAGGCCTTGTTTCAACCAGCTGACCATCAGTGCACAGACGCATGGATTCAGTTTTAACAGAGGAGCAGAACAGACTGGAAAGCCCAGATTTCAATGTCAAAAGATCATCAGCAATAATTACGAGCCACGTTGTTATAATAATGTTATGGTCTGTTTATTAATCTTATATTTTTTCCTGACGTCGTCGTCTGTGGCCAGACACACAGACCTATGACTCTCACAGTTAGTCCTCAATGCTTGTCTCTTCAGCAAATCTTCTGTCTTCACCATCATCCTTTTTTTCCTCAGGGAAGAAAGATGAGAAAAACTACAGTCTAAACTAAAAAGTTAGTCCGAGTTCAGACGGTATGCAGTGTCCCTGTGCTGAAAAATCGCATCAATATTTCAGGCACAAGCAGAATACAGCATTTCTGCATTTAGAAAAAAAATTCAGACTGTGAGTTTATTTAGAGAGTTGATTGGTGCAGTTGATAGAAATGTGCAGAAACACACATTATACTTTTAAATTGAAATCAAAACCAAAAAGACATGGAAGAACATAAAAACTGCGATTGGAAATCATTGTAAACTATCCAAAATGGCCAGTAGTTATCTCCACAGCGATGATAAAAGGTCTATCATTACCTGTTAGCCCAGTTACAATTACATAGGTGATGCTTAAGGGAAGCAAGGCTATCAATGAGTTCCTATTAACTTATGTTTAAAAATGACAGCTAAAACGAGAATATGGCCACAGAAAATTTTTCACACACAGATTTCAAGCCACAGGAAACAACGATGCATGATGGTTCAGGCATCAGTTTATATGCAGTTAATCATATATACTGTCAGGCTTATTTGGGACATATGATCACGGATCAGTTTGAATATATAAAACTGAAGATGTCAGGCTTTCCTAAGACGTAGAGGAAATGGGTGTTTCACCAAGGATTCCCTTTTCTCAGGTCCCAGAAAGTGGGTCAACTCCGTTCAACTCACATTTAAAGCAGTTTTTCAAAACAGTCGTCATAAAATGAAATATAAAGGATTCACAGTGAAGTGAACTCTTCCAGCATAAGTCTGGAAATAATCGTCAACTAATTTAGCAATCAATTAATCGTTGACTGACGTGTACAGACTAAAAGAACAAGCCACTTGCTGAAAAAACAACAAAAAGAGTCACCCAACACCGTATTGGTGTTAAGTCGAGCAGAAAGTCGAGCAGAAAGGCTGATCACACGTTATTAGAAATATTTTTTTAGCTGCAAAATGCACTGTACTACAAATAATGAGGCATTCACTGAGGGAATACTGTTTTATTGCATTGTTTTTTCATTTTAAAAAACGGAATTTAATTACTTGATTATTTGCATCTTTTTTTTTTAATATTGTTCAATAAAGCTTAAGTGATTAAATAAAAATGTGCAGAATGTGCCACTTTTACTATCCGATTTACCTATTTAGACACAAAGTAATTTGAACACAGCTGTTAATGGGTAAAAGAAACACCATGTGCCTGTTGAAGCGCAAAGAGCAGATCATTGCTTCAGTAAAGACGGGCACCGCTGGCAGATGCTGCTGGCCTCTTGAAACCGGAAGCTCTGGTGAGAGAGGGAACGCGTGATCAGGCGGTGCGATACAGAACGAGAAATAGAAACAATGTGACAGACAGAAAGGAGAGTGTGGGTATAGTGGAGCAGAAACATTAGTGAGGCGCTTCATGTTGCACATGCCGGTGCGCAGGTCTCTCTCTTTCTGTCAAATGACTCATCAGGAACTAAATATGTTTGCTGTTTTGTGCTGCTTGCTAATTAGACTTTAAAAGTATGTGAGCAGCATTTGTGTTTGTGAAGCTCAGAGTGCGCACTTGTTGTGGTGGGTAGATGTGTTGGGATTGTGTTAAAAGCTCCCTGGATGTCATCTGATGAGCTGCCTGCAGCCTATTTTTACTTTGCTACACGCTGCTAATGAGAGACACGGCAGGAGAGTGAGAGACTGTTGGTTTAACGAGAAACTTTTCAGAGCGCATCATTTCTGCCTGGCAGCGGGGAAGACGGATCACAACCTTTGCTTTGAGACCCACACCGAGTCAACATTGACGAACTGACTTGCCCTCCCACTTGCCTGCTTCTTCATCTTCTTTCGCGCACGCATGCGAGCGTCTCCCTCACTCGCCCAACTGCACCAACTTGTGGTTTAATCAGAGCATCAGGCAGGAGGAGGCAGAGCGCTTGCCGCCTCACTCGGTGCTGGTGGGAGAGTTGCCCGTTTCCACCAGCGACTCCGCACAGACTCTGGAGATGGAAGCAGAGACGAGTGTTTCTCTCCGCCTCCCCGCTCAGCTGCTGCGTGGTTATAGCTGAAAACTGTTAGAGTGTTAGTGGAACTGAGGTAGGCTTGTTTTACTTGCTATCGTCTCCTGGTGTTCATCTCTGTTTTTGTCTCTGTTCAATTTGTTACTGGAGGACAAAATTAGAGGCAGGGAATGTATCAGAGTTTTACTTCTTAAAAGTCTGAAGTCTGTAGAGATGAAAGCAAGCAACACAAAACACTGAAATTGTTTCTTTTACCTACTGCCTTCTACAAATCTGAAGGAAATGTCTTTTAATAATTTTGATAGTCTGATAAAAAAAATTGTTTTTATTAAAATGTATGCATTTTATTAAAAAAATACTTAAATCTTTCTTTTTATATATTACTTGAGACCTGATTGTATTTTGGGTCTGTTAGGATTGCCAAATTTCTATTTTCTAAATGCCAGAATAATAAAAAATCACTTCTTTTCATTTATTTAAAGAAGTCTACACACATTTCCTCAATATTTTTTAGAAACATTTGACATCACACCTTTAAGCTAGCATCTTCACAAAGGCTTTTGTTGTTTTCCCCCAATTAGTACTCTGGGACACAAAACCCATCTTCTTCCTGAAGATTGCAATGACTGGAGTTTTCTGTGCTTTTATAATTGCATATACTTGAATTAAAACAGATCAACCTGGCACTCCAGACTTCTAGAAATTGTACCCAATTTATTTAGATTTTTGCCATGATGACACACAAAGGAGCGGAAAATTTGAGGCATTGGCTTTAAAATACATCAACAGGTGTGCCACTTTCCTCCATCTAACTCAGCTTTCCCAAATTTGTTAAAGGCATTGTAACCTTAATGCTTGCAAACCTTGGAAACTAATAAAAATTTCCCTGTCTTATTATTCTTGCCATTTACTTTTTATACAGCATGTAAATACCTAATTTAGATGTGGTAAATTAAAAAAAATAAGTTATACCATTTAATTAATTTGGTTTAATTATAGCAACACATCAAGTTATGCAATTCAGTTGAGTCACAACAGAAGATCCCTGCGACTGGACAAGCGAGACATCTTCCTTGAACGGATTACCGCAGACTACTGGAGGAACACATTAAATCTATTCCCTCTAGGGAGGATTACAGAGACTCATTTACTTCATCCCGACTGCTCTGTCCAAAGACTTTGACTCCATCTCTAAGGCGACGGCAGCATGAGGCGTTGCTCATCCTGAGTTTGTAATCAGTTGCATTTTACACAGTGTGGGGGGGATTTGCTAAATCGGATGCTGGGACCTCTCTGATGGGATCAGTAAGTCTCCAGAGGAGTTGACTGGAGAGGTCATCTTCTGTCTCTGTGCAGCCTCGCAGTATTACCCTGTAGGAAAACGGGGAGTTCCTGGAGGAGTTAAACCAGTGCTGGTGTTGGTCTGTGACCTTATGTACCCTGCCCTTTTTTAAATACTTGTCATGCAAAGGGCACAACCTTTAGTCTTACTTTTATTTTCAAGTCCTCAGGTAAAGATTTCTACATATTAATGAGTTGCAGAAAAAGTGACCAGTAGAAGTTTATCAAAAGGTACCTTTTGTTGCGAATCCCCCACAAGTTACTAAACCTCCAGATTTATTTATTTTTTTATTGGCGGTAGTGGCCTTTATTTGATAGTGACTTGACAGGAAAGTAGGTAATGAAATAAGGGGGAAGACATGCAGCAAAGGTCACCAGGCCGGGAATCGAACCTATGACAGCTGCGCCCAGGACTAAGGCCTCCTTATGTGGGTTGTGCTTAACCCCTGCGTCACCACAGCACACCTAAACCTCCAGATTTATGATAAACTAAAATGTCACCGACACCTGAGGAGCTTGACCTTTCAAACATTTAAAAACTCATCTTTCTCTTCCTGCAGGTCAATCAAGAGCCAACATGATCCCACTGAAACAGCCAAGGAACCTCAAAGCCTCCAACGATACTTTGTCCTCCATGGAGCTTGACGGCTCCACGGAGCAGCCAGCATCTAAAGCCACACCGCCGCCTCTGCCCAAGAAGGCTGTCCCTCGCTCCAGCACTGAACCCAGCCTCGGGGTCAAAGAGCCCAACCAGGGAGCCCTCCGACCCCGGGCAGAGGCTAAACCAGGCGGCACCAACCTGAGCGTGGCCAACCCTCTGTATGACTTGGACTCTACCTGGGAGACAGCAAGCCAGAGCTCCTCTCTGAGCTCTGAGCCACACCGAGCTCATGATCATGAGAGTGGCAACTCTTTGGAGAGATCATCTGCCTCTGCAGCCACAAGCAAAGCTTGCCTCACAAACAGCGTGTCTGCCCTCAGCCCCCCGCCTACCGCTTCCACACCAGTCACTACCTCTGGCAGGGACAAGAGAGTGTTCCCAAGCACAGAGTCTCTGGGCGGAAGGGGTCGGACTGCGGGCCGTGGAGCCCCTGGCGGAGGGGTCTCCAAGCCACACAGACCCGCTCTTTACAGGGGGTTGGACAGCTGGGATGAGGTGGTAGGCAGGATCCGGGGACTTCACACAGACACCCTACGGAAGTTGGCGTCGAAATGCGAGGACCGCTTCATGGCCGGCCAGAAGGACCACCTTCGATTTGGCACTGACAGCTGGTCACACTTCAGGTTGACCACCGGCAAACCGTGTTGTGAGGCAGGGGACGCCGTCTACTACACGGCCTCTTACGCCAAGGACCCACTGGTCAACTACGCCATCAAGGTGAGCATCAGGTAGTAGATCAGTAGTTTGCAGGATGACAAAGGCAGACCACCTTTTCCAAACACCAGGTTCATTATTAACCTGGTTATTAATAGTTTTATACAGATAGCCTTCATAAAGGTTTGACCCTTGGCACTCTATGATGCATAAATGGTAGAGGTACAGCTCCTTGAAGGCATACCTCTTGAACTTTTTCACATTTATCATATTATTGCCATGATAAATGCTATGCTGATTTAAACAGCATAGCAAACATGCTCTTGGGGCGTAGCATGGCACCCCATATTCAAAGGCTACATACCTCAATGCCACTTTCCCCAAGTTCGAGTTCAGTTCTCAATTCCTTTGCTGCATCCTCTTCTCTTTGTCTTCCCCTCTTCCCTCTGCCCCCTTTCTGTCGTATTCTGTAACATAAAGCTTCCATATTTAAAGCTTACCCACTATGCCAACTAATTTCATAGCGATCTTTAGTATTTTATATTATAGAATAAATGTCAGGGACAGAACTGTGACGAGCCTGGAACTTTATGACCTGAGTAATGGACAATCCAGGTAGAAAACCTGTTAGAGGCTTCGAAGGATGTACAACTGAGATTTTGATTAATTGACCAGCCTGACAGACACTCTAAATACACAGCCTACAACTACAGTTTGGGTCATACCTCCTCAGCCTTGTCACAGAATCTGGCTAATAACCTCAAACTTTGATTCAGACATCTAAAAGCTGCCAGACACCAGCCCCAAGGACGGGAATTTGAGACCCTTGATTTAGATCAAAGCATATTTATGGGTTAGAATGGCCCATTCAAAGTCCAGACCAGAAACCAACTGTGAATATGTGACAAAACTTACAAAGTATTGTTTGTTGATCCTCATTTGGGGCAGCCTAGGAAATAAGAATATCCAAAACTCCTTAAAGACCGGCAGCTGCAAATGTATCAAAAGAGGAGTCAGGAAGACTGATTTTGAATGCAGGCCACATTTTTCAGATGTATTAAGAAATTATGTTCTGCTTTGTGTTGGTCTGCCACAGAAAATGCCAACATTACAGTTAACGGGACAAAGTATGAAAAAGTTCAAAGGTGTGAATGTTTTTGAACAGCTCTATAAATGAGCTTCATGATATTGATTTAATTACACCTAATAGATAAAAGTTATCCTGAATTACATACCGTAATACTCCAGTTAATAACATAATCCCAAAATGCTCCATGTAGCATCTGATTCTCCTGCTAAACTGTGTTTAGAAGGAGTGTTTGCTTTGACACCAGCAGGGGATTTGAAGACAATCCCTTGTCCGGTGGTGGTTGCCTTAAGAAGTCCTCGTGTTTTGTTTGTTTGATGTTAACTCCTCCCACTTCCTCTTCAGAAGCAGAGGAAGGTGTTTACCTAAAAGTGCTGCCACTTAAACTTTGAGCCCTGAGGATATGTTCTTGTGCAATAAAACCTGTGCATTCACGTGTGTGTATATACCCACGTGAGCTTCATAGCTTTGCCTTTCTAGGCTTGAATTCATTCATGTGGTAGCTTGGTGTACAAGACTTAAGAATTGTCATGGAGAAAGAAATTGGTTTGTTGATTTCTTATTTATTTATTTTTATCCAATTAACCCTCTCAGGCTCAAATTACTTGCAAAGACTAGCTAAGTAGTACTGAGCTGTTGCAAATCTGCAACATCTGCCTGGAGAGGGTTAAGCCTGGTTTCTGAAATGATCAGTAGCTGTATCGCTAATATATATTTAAGCATATATATATATTTCTCTACCATTTTGACACTGTGAAAAAACAACACTGTTTCGATTAAGAAATACATTCTCAAATGGGAACGAGGCGGAAAAAACTTAGACTATTTATATCAACCCAACTTTACTTATCAAACCGTGACTGACATGTTAAAACATTGTGCTTCCCTAAAAACAATAAAAATGAACATGTTAAGGGAAATAAATGTACTTCGTGCTTTATTACAGCTAATTGTTTCCCAGTAGCCGAGGTTTTCTTCTTGCAGAATTAAAAAGCCATTTACTGCTGCTCAGAGGCATCACTCTGTTTCTTGTAATCTCACAGACCATTACACTTTTGGCTCTGGGAGACTTTTTGTGTTGTTGTTGTTGTTGTTTGGCTGACCATTGTTGAGCACCAGAACCCTCATTAATTCTCCTAACTTTGGGTAAGTGGTCTTCACACAGCTTTAAAGTTGGTGATGTGATTTTCCACAGTTAGCTCGCTGCACGTCTTGCTCTTTATTTTCCTATTCTCTGTCATGATACACTTCAGCAGAGACATAGTGGATATCACTATGGAAGATAGTAATATCTTATTAATCAATAAAGGTCAATAAAATAATAAAAACAAAAAAATTTCAACCAAAGCCATAAATAGAATGGATTATGGAGACTAAAAAAATGCCCTTGAAAAATTATTAAACATCAGAATGGAAGTTAGTTTTGTTTATTATTACGGTTGTTTAATTGCATACTGCAACAGGCTTAAATGTTGCCTTTTTTGTAAAATAATTGAAAAATGAATAAAAAATACAGAAGCTAAAAGTAAGGAAATTAGTAAAAAAAATTAAAATCTGCTGGTTTTAATTTACAGATCTGTCGGAGTCATGTGAAGGAGACACAGCAGCAGTTTTTCCACAGCCTGGCGGTGAGACAGAGCCTCCCGGTGCACTTCAACATCCAGCAGGACTGCGGACACTTCCTGGCTGACGTCCCCGCCCGACTGCTGCCTTGGGAAGAGGAAGAGGAGGGAGAAGATGAGCAGGAGGAGGAGCAGAGAGACAAGAATCATGAAGGACAGACAGGGATGGACACAAAGCCGACAGACTCTGAAGCGTCGAAAGCTGAGTCGGACGAGGTCCCGGCGAACATGAACTCGCCGGGCCAGCTGAGGAGCCGAGTGGTGGTCATCACGCGTGAGGTACCCTTTCAGACGGTGGCGGACTTCGTGGGAGAGGGCGTGGCCCGGCACGCTCACAACCCCGAGCTGTATGAGCGTCAGGTGTGCCTCCTGCTGCTGCAGCTCTGCTGTGGCCTGGAGCACATGAAGCCGTTCCACGTCACGCACTGCGACCTGCGGCTGGAGAACCTGCTGCTGGTCCACTGCCAGCCCGGCAACCCCTGGAACCTGGACGTGCTTGAGCCCAACAACAACAGCAGCGGCGGCAGTAGCAACGGCTCGGGGGCCTCCGCCGCCGCCGCCTCCACCTGCCCCGCACGCCTCATCATCAGCAACTTTTCCCAAGCCAAGCAGAAGAGCAGCCTCATGGCGGCCAACCAGGAAACCCTGCGTGACCAATTGCGGCTAGCGCCTGAGATCATCACGGCCACGCAGTACCGCAAGTGCGACGAGTTCCAGACCGGGATCCTCATTTACGAGATGCTGCACAGGCCCAACCCGTTCGAGGAGACGCCGGACCTGAAGGAGCGAGAGTACACCTGGGCGGACCTGCCGCCGCTGCCCGTCAGGTCGCTGTACTCCCAGGGGTTGCAGCAGCTGGCCAGGCTGCTGCTGACGGTCAACCCATCGGAGCGGATCCAGATGTCCGAGGCGCGGGCCTGCCTGCAGTGCCTCCTCTGGGGACCGCGAGAGGACCTGTTCCAGGCCCTGGGCTGCGGCGCCGGTGCCGGCCCCGTGTCCGGGGCCACCGCCAGCCAACGGGAAGCAACGCTGCAGAACTGGCTGGACCTTAAGCGGACGCTGATGATGATAAAGTTTGCGGAGCGTTCACTGGACACGGCCTGCAGCGTGAGCTTGGAGGACTGGCTGTGCTGCCAGTACCTGGCCTTCGCCACCACGGACAGCCTGGGCCGCGTGGTCCACATCCTGCAGCAGCCGCCGCAGCCCCAGAACCAAACCCAAACACATCCGGCTCATGCCCACCGCCTGGCTCAGCCTCAGCAACTCTAAGCTGTTACTATGACAACACCACCAACTTCTTCCCCTCTATCTCTGCTCCCCTCAGCTGATGAAATGTGATGTATGCGAACGGTGAGCGCCAGCCGAATGCGGAGCCGTTTGTTTTTCCCGTCAGACCGTACGGCGAAAGTCTCATCAAGCAAGCAGCACGATCTCATGATCAGATCCCATTACCGCAATGTTCTTAAATCAAGTGCAGGAACAAGCTGAAGCACAGGAGTCTGCAGGAGTCAATCCGATCAGAGGCAGCGACACGTTACCAAACATGGGAGGAGATTTTAGCCATCAGGTTCTTTAATGTTCTGCCAAGACAAAGCTCTTTAGAATGCTCTCAGCGCCTGAGATCATCACAGATTAGATTAATTTTTAGGGTTGAATTAAAAACAAATGATTTGATATGGAAAAATATGAAACCAAGATTTTTGTTTTTTAAAGGAATTTGATCAAAATCAAAATTTTAACTCCAAAATCACTTACAGGCAAGTCAGTGCGTCTATGAGGACACTGGGGACAGGGTTATCTGGCTAAATCAGAGACATGTTGGTTTATGGTTTTGGTAAAGCTTTTAGTTTTATTTGAATATTAGAAGATATTAAAATATCATTGAAATGTGTCTTTTTAGCACTCTGTGATTAATTATATCAGGAGAACTGGCAATGTCACACTGTGTGTCAGCAATTGCTGTACGAAAGGATTTTAGTAATTAAAATGAAAACAATTATTACAGATTTGACATTAAACCAGCTTTGTCAACTTATATTGGTGTTTAGCAGCATTAGTGCAGTTTGAGTCACAAAAACAGGTACATCCCAGATTTCTAAAAGGCTGTCAGCACTTCAAAAAAGATGAAACGGAGCAATTCTCCTCTCAAATGTTTAGCCTTCCTGTTATGTGCTTGAAGTCTTGCTTTCTCTCGCTCTCTCACAGCCTTAAAAATCTGCAGTCATCTTACCACATAAAATAAGTAGCTTACTTCTCTGTTCTCCCTCTGAATTCAGCTGTGACCAACTCAGATTCAGTCTTTCATTCAGTAACTTAGCTTTACCAATCTGGTTTGGCCATTATTCAAAAAAAAATAAAAAATAAAAATTACATTTATGAGTTACTGATTTCTAGTTTTAACAGGACTGCCACATTTCATCTTAAGGTTGATCTATTGCAGACTGGCCCTAAGGTTTGCGTTTCTACACGTTTAAATCTTGATTTAAAAACCGAAAGCTAATCTGCATTTGAACAGAATGCCTTTACGTTCACCCTCACCGAAATGAAACTCGGACACATCTGCTCCTGAGTCTGACCTTCACTCAATGTTTGTGCAATGGATTGTTTAATCACAGTGGTTGACTAATCGACTCCTCCGTTCGTTTTTGTGGCACATAAACTGGTTTTATTTCAGTCCTGCAGCTTTTTAGGGGGGATGAAAAAGAAGAAACAAGTGAATTTCAGAGTGAATGACTTCATCCATCGGACGGAATGTTTCGTGGACTGCAAAAAAGCGAGTCTTTGTTCGTTTATCTTGTTTTTGTCGAGGTGTTTTTGAACAGTTCTGAGTTCTGGATATTTGCACACTGAGTCAGAGCGACGCCTCTGCGGACGCCTGGGGTCACAACGTGACGGACGACTGGAAAAAGTTGGGAATTGGACGATCTGGTTAGACATTTGAACTTTGCCGCATCCTCCTGCTGAGCTGCATTTTTGATTGCATTTTGACAGTATTGAAGCATCTTTGAAAGGAAATGCTCAACCACTGGGATATGTTTCTCATCCTCTTGTTCTAATCCAGCCAGTCCTGAAGTGAATCCAGTTCATCCACCAGCTTTAACTAAAGAGATCGGTGTTACTGATCGCAGCGTTTTAGCTTCGATTCGGTAGAGTCAGTGCAGGTACTTGAGTCTCCGAACCGCCATTCAACAAACTCAACAAATACCATCTTTAACTCGGATTCAACACTTTCTCTCACAAGTTTACTTGACTGGATCCGGTTTTTTTACAGTGTACAGACCGCAGCAGAAGCGTTGCTGTGGGATCATCACTTGCAGATGTACAGTAACAATGCAATGGTCCACAAAATGGGGGTGGGGGAAGAAACAAAGTTGGAGTGAGTTTGTTACTGCGGTAGCGTGTGGTGAGGAATGTGTGTGAGACAGCACTGGTGGCTGGCCGCCTTTATTTAGAAAAATATATGAATTTAACCTCTTCCCTATTTTAATCTGCACACTGTTTTATTGAGTACAGAGCACCTCTATTTCTTGTTAGAGCCTGATAGTCATTTATTCATTGTTGCTTTACTTGACTTTCTTTCTTCTCGCATGTTCTGGAGGAAGAATAAAGTGAGTAGTTATCACTGTCCTACGCGAACAAACGACCAGAGAAGATCTCCGTTTTCACACGCCACAGTGTACAGGATTTCACTGAGTTTGCCTAATGAGGAGAACAACCACTTTGGCAGAAGGACGTCTTTTGAACCGGCTTTTCGACAAGTTTGAATGACGCGTCGTGTGTGCCGATGAATGCCACTGAGTTTAGTTTTGAAGAACAGGAGCTCTGTAATGCTTTCTGTGACGACGTGTGGAGTTTGTCCTCTGGCTTCATCGCCGTCAATTGTTGAGCAAGTTAGCCGACTGTAACAGAACAATAAATATATGTTTTTATATATACATGCTGCCTTTGTGTCTTTTCAGTTTAAGGAAGACTGTGTGCTTTTGGCGACCATTTTCAATGACTCAGTTTATTCTTTGGCCACCAGAGGGAGCCCTTTGCAAGGCAGAGAAAAACTGAGCTGCACCGCTGGTCTTTACTCCGTTATATTGTCCTCTTCTTCCATAATACATCATAACCCACTCACACAACAAGCATTCACAAATAGATCTTAATAAAGGACGGAAGTTATGAATTGAATGTAGGTTCACTACAGTTTATAGCCCTTAACAAAAAGAAAAACAACACATTTCACAAGATTCATCAAATCCATTTCTAGGAACAGCCAATCAGAAGTCTGGCATTGACCCTTAATCCCGCCCAGATAATTTGACGGGTGAAATTGACAGATTAAATTAATTAACTTAAACTGATTAAACCATAACATGCTTGCATCAAGTTTTCAAAATGAAATCGGGACATTGAAATGAGTAACACGTACAGTCGTTTTTAATCCGTCATTTCTGGTTTAATTAGATTTATGACACATTTGAACAATCATTTCTCATTTATTGCCGTTTCACGCTCCGTGTTTGCGCGCCTCTCCCACCTCCGGCTCCAGACGTCTTACGTAACATCCCAGCCTGCATCATCCCTCACGGCTCAGCTCTCAGGAGAAGCAGGCAGGAGCTGAGCGGAGACTCTGGAAGTTCAGAGGAGGATCTCCCCCTGAAACGCTCTCACCCCTCCCCACCTTGTTTCTTACACTTCTCCCCCACCCCCTCCCTGTGATTGCGTTGCCTAATCCAGGCGTAAAGTGTGTGTGTGTGTAGGGGGGGGGGCGAAGCAGGTAGCCACTTCCTGCAGGCTCTTGGTCTCTCTCCCTTCCCTTTCTCTGTGTGTGTGTGTGTCTCTCTCTCTCTGTGTGTGTGTCTCTCTCTCTCTGTGTGTGTGTCTCTCTCTCTGTGTGTGTGTGAGCTGATCAGCAGCGGGAGGCGGTGGACGCGCTTCTCTTTCGTCCCGGACCGGTTCAGGTTGCGCTGCAGGGGAGGGACTCTGCTTGTGCAGGCTGGGCTGAGCTGCAGCGGGGATGCATCAAGCGGCGGAGACGGACCTCTGAGTTGACTGGAGACACCCAGGGCCTCCTCTTTCCTCTGAGAAAGAAGAAGAAGAGTGAACGCTGTTTCTCCACCTCCTGGTTCCTCCTCCTGCACCTCGCTGGAGCCGCTGGATGGAGAGAGTCGCCTGAAGAAGGGAGAGCGGTGGAGTTGCTCTCCTCCTCCCCCCTTTCTCTCTACTGCACCAAAAGAAAACCCCGGGTAAGCTCCTCTCTCACACACACGCGCAATCGCTTGCCTCTTTCCTCTCATCCTGCTGCTTTTGTTGACGAGATTCCCTTAAAGCAGGTAACTGCGCCCCTTAACGCATCTCCTGAAACTGAACGGCGCCCCATCCCCCCCTTTCCCTGCCTCACAATCAGGATCCAGTCGGTTTGTGTTCTGTCAGTAGGGAACAGGTTGTTTCCAGATGTGCAGGCGGTCCAGGGTGCAGCAGCATCCTGTGGCTCCACTCAGCTGCAGGAACTCGGGGGCAGGTCAGGGGCGCACGGTGCAACCTGAAGGCACCTAATCAGCCAATTGCATTTAACCTCAATGTGAATGCACGGTGAATGAAGGCATAAGACTTTCAGAAAGCAAAGTCAAGTTTAATTGTGCAGGTCATTTAAGGGACAAGGCAGTGCAGAGTGCTTTACACCATGAAAACAAAAAACGGTAACCAATCATATGAAAAAGCAACTAAAAATTACATTTTGTCAAATATACGTCACAATGTTCCATTTACTATTCATCAAAGGCAACTCTAGACAGGTGGGTCTTTAGTCTAGATTTAAAGAAAATCAGTGTTTCAGAAGTTTTGTGGTTTTCTGGAAGTTTGTTCCAGATTTGTGGTGAGCAGAGGCTCACGGATCAGAACCGAGTCACAAAGTCACCTGCTGACATCGTAATGTAGAGCTGTGTATCGTCCGTGTAGCTATGGTAACTAATCTGAGTTCTTGCTATAACCCAGCCGATCATGTAAATAGGAGGGCTCTTAGGGTTGAACCTTGTGGTACCCCGCGTGCGATTTCTGCATCAGAGGAGTGAAAAACAAACAGCAGACAGTCAGGGAGAAGTTGTTGGCTAACGAAATAGAGACAAATGCAAGACAAACCTGTTGGAGAATGTTAATACGTTAGAACGGCCCTGTCAAAGTCCAGAGCGAAATCCAATTTGGGCCCGGTGGCAAGATTAGCAAAATAATTAATTGCTGTTCACACACACTTCTGATGATGAGTATCTAAATCATTCCCACACTTCTCAGATTTAAATTAGTAAGAAACTTCAAAAACAGGTTCTTCAAATTCATCAGCCTGTTTTTCTGAGGATCTGTTTTCTACAACTTGTTTTCTATAAATCCAGATTTTGGTTGAATGAGGATTGACTCTAAATCCTCATTCAAAGGGGGTCCTAATCTGGAAATGTAGGAAACCGTTCAGCTCGTATATGCAGACTCCCCTGTTTTCTGATCAGGGTGGAATCGGTGCGTGCGCGGTGATGAAAACGATGCTGCTGGAGCTTTTAATTTCGGGTAATCCCATTAGATGATGCTCGCCGTAGCAACACGTCGTAATGTGGTTTAATCCTCCCTCCTGTTCTGTCTCGGAAGCAGCCGAGGGCCTTCTGGCACCTTCTGGATGCTCATGCTGTCATGCTAATGTCTTCATACCGTTTGGTCTTGTTACAAACACAAACCATAGGATAGAGCAGTAGAAGAAAAAGGCGGTGTACATTTGTGTATCCATCAGCCTTGTATCAGTCTTTAGCACCAGAGGCTGAAATATTCACCTGTTTTTCCAGTTTGATTTCAAATCTTTCAATTCAAAGATTTGGACTTTGACTGGGCCATTCTAACGTGAATTATGCTTTGATCCATGGGATTCCTTTGGCTGCGTTCACACTGCCGCCTGAAGTGAATGTTGATGACGTTCCTGGAACAAGGTGAAAATCTCCAAAGATCCTCCTGTAGCCTCAGTCTGACTTTCTTCCAGGCTTATTCAGTACGCAGCTCCGTTCATCTCTCTCACTCTTTGAGGTAAACCACAAAAATGACCTGGCTGCTAATTAGTCCTTTTTTGAAACAAAAAGTTTTCCGACACTCTCCTCTGACCAGAACACCGAGTTTTTGCCGTGGCCCACACGACTGACGTGAAACGGGACTTCCACACCGGGTTTCTGAAGCGATGGCCAGATTCGCGGACCAGAAAGGCCATGTGACGGTGATGCGTGTCGATGCATCGTCTCTGTTCTCCCTCACGTTTGGCTGGTGTTTGATGGCTTCTCGATGATCCGCTCCAATGTGAAGGTGTGGGTCTTACTCCGCCTTCGCTCAGCTGAAATACGAGCCGCTCAGAACTCAATTCCTTCACCGGCACTTGCAATCATCTCAGCTATTCCTTTAACGCGGACCCCGCCTCCTCGCGGTTTCTCTCATTCCCTCACACACACACACACACACACACACATGCATACGCACACATTTCCCCTTTCTTTCTGGACTCATCAGAAATATTATTACATTAGGGAAGCGCTGAGATGAAAACTGAAGACGTGAGACTTTGTGAGTCCTCAGAAGCGCGTCGAGCCCATCCGCGTTATGAGCCTGGTCGTTTCTAACTGCTGGCTTGGGTCTTGATGTATCACAGCTAATATTTCCAGAGTAGATCATGTGATGGATTGCCTTTTTTTTTATGGCGTATGCCTGCGGTCGGTGCACATTGCTGCCAAATGTAGCTGCAGCTCAAATCTTTGAAAGCCCTGTAGATGCAGCAAAGTAGCCTGGAGACAAATCACTTGGACTGTTTAGGACCAAAGGTGAAAAGAACTGAGATGTCAGCTTGCTCCAGAGCTAAAAGTTTTTTTTAGTTTTTTTTTTTTTTTTAAATGCACCAATAAAGATGCAAAGGTAAAGTAGAAGTGCTGTTATCAAACTGAATCAACAAGGGCTCCCAGATTTTCTCTTTTGTGAGAAATCTGGCCTGCAGAAGGTGGCCGGGGTTCTTTCCAACACATTAGTTCAGCTCTTACAGACGTTTTTGAAGCACTAAGTGCTTTCACCGTTGTGTATTAGCTTAATTGTTGGGTTGTTAATCTCATAAGTGGTAGCTTTAATTTGTTAGTGTGATCTTGGGCAACACTTGACACTTGACTGATCGTTTTTGCTTTGACGCCAATTTACCGATCCCAGAGTAAAGATTAAAAAGCAATAAATAATTTTTTTATTTTTTAATTTTTTTTGCAACAGATTATCCACGTCGGTCTGGACTTTGACTGGGACATTTTAACACTTGAATATGCTTCAAATTCAATCGATCCATATCAGTTCTGGCTGAATATTTGCTCGGCAGAGTCCTGACAGGATGCGCCTGTGTGTAGCTCAAAGCGTCTTCCTGTCAAATTTGAGACGTTTCCCTGTAATCGTCATAGAAAAGAATCCCCACAGCATGATGTTGCCACCGCCATGTTTCCGTAAACGGTTGACGTGCTCAGAGATGCGCATTGTTGCTTACGTTGTTCATTTTTCCACCATAGCATTTTGAAACACTCGCACATCTTCAAATCAGACAAAATCGGTGTGAGACGTTGGTGCCGCAAACATTTTTGTTAGATAACGTTTATGCTCACTATTCAGTTTAGAGATCTGTTGGAGCTCGAAATCAGGCTTAGAAAAACGGGGGTCAATATATCCTGCACGTTTCTCTGAACAGGCGGGCGGATAGGAGAACTCTCAGGGACGGTTAAAACATCTGTTGAGAGGAAATGGGTCCTTCTGTCCTTCCAGCATTAAAGGCCTGTAATAGATGGATTGCCATAAAGCTCTGAAACCCAAATGATTGGCTCCATCAGCTTAACTTATCAATTACTTTTTATGCTTTCATTTCCGTAGAGCTCATATAAAAGACAGATGATGGTAGTTCCTTAATGCTGTAGAACATGATTTTGTTTGTAAGTATCTCAGAAGACAAATATATCATGAAGATGATGTCCTCTGCATCCTGAACTGGACCTGGAGTTTATGCCGGTGTTTGACAAGTGGGCTTGTTAGTTGTTGGTGGGACCTAAGACAGACATCATGAGTCTAACAGAGAGAAATCATGAGTCTAACAGAGCATCCTGTCAGTACTGCCAAAATGTTGAATTATCCTCCAATCTCATTCTTCTAATTTCTCCTTTTCACCTGTTATGGGCCTGCGACCCAGGCTGTAGCATTGTTAGCTTTGCTAAACCCCAGCCTCTCTGGGTTAGCATGTTAGCATACTTACTTGCGTTAGGTTGGATTTGTTTGGCTCTGTAAAGTTGTATTTTTCGTTTTTATTTCAGGAATGAAGCGTCAAACCCTAGTCCTTGTTCTTCAGCTGTCCACATGGAGGCGACATGATGCGCACTTTCTTTGTTTACTTAGAAAGAAAAAGAATGTTTGTATTCTTACTGACATCAAATCACAGCAAACTGCCTCTGCTTTAGCACAGTTAGGATTATGAAAACTATTTTTATTGTCTTAATGCCGGAGAATTTATTTGCTCAAAGTCAGACGTTTGCATTGCTATTCTAGCCTAGATGAGAATGTTGAGTCTTTGTAAGCTTTTAACATTTTCCTTAAAAATGTTCCGGAAAATATGGACGAATCTTAAAGCTTCATTTCAAATTCACTACTTTCTTCTGTGACACTATGGGAAGATGAAGAGAAATCATTTCAGACATCAGAAAAATAAATGTGGACCAAAGCGAAGCTGAATGGCCACACGAAAAATTCATTTCACCGAAAGCACCATAAAAAGACTGAGAGTTTAAAAGTTAAGTGTTTGACCACAGTGACCATCATTACGATTTAAGGAAATAAATGATTAGTGAGTAATACGTCTTGAGTTACAGATTTATTGTTTCATCTGAGGTAATGGGGCATCTTGCTGCTGTGTGCAGATTTTTCCTCTGTTGGTGCCAGCACTGAGATTTAAAAACTTGTGCCAGTGGCCGCTTCTTTAACTTAAAACCTGCATTTAATGAATTAAACCAGGAAGTCAAAGCGCAGCCGGAGTTGTCCGACATGCGGCGCGGAGAGAGACGCATGGCCCAGCCGGCCGAACATGCACTGCAAGGGTTGTGTGATATCCCAGCATGGCAGCGAGGCTGGTAATTTGGTTACGATGTCATTGGGGGAGATTAAAAGACAAACTGATCGATCGGGTTGTCGAGGAAGCGAGGGGGAGAGCGCGGCCGATGGCCTGTTCTCCGTCTGTTTCCCCCACGCCATGTTCCTCGTTCCTCTGTCAGCGCAGACACACCGTTCTTTGTTTCTCTGACAACAGTCACCGACTTTGTTTCCATTATCCGTCTCATCAGTGTCTTTTTCATTCCTTATCTGACCTTTCATCACTTTTAACCTGTGCTAGTTAAGACAAAAACCCATCAGTCTCTGGCGTCTCTCTTTATTGATCACAGTTGTTCAATATTCAGCTCCAGCAAAAGCTATTCTGATCTCCCACGGAGGTGACTGCGGGTCGAGTTCTCATCTTGCAATCGGATGGTTGTAAGTTCGATTCCAGCTTCCTCCTGTCATCCATGCCTGTTCCCCTCAACGAGGCATTTAACCTTTGACCTAAATATGCCTGCTGCTCTGCAGATCGGTGTATAGGTGAGTTTGTCATTTTTGGCAGCTAATATCATTAGTTCATCTTGTGCTCCTGGAACAGATCAGCTATCATTCATCCCCAGATTTTAATCATGGGCTAATTGTATGTACTGGACTCCATTTGTTATTTTCGCCAGAGGGTCTGTTCTACCTTTGTAATAAATGGCATCGTGTGCAAAATCTCTGAATGATAAAATAATTTCAAACGAGTGACATAATCAATATCATGCAGGCCTTTTAAGAAAAAGCTGCGCCACTTTCCTGTCGCAGCCGTGTCTTAATGAGGCGTCGCTTCGACCTCGTTGCTTTAGGACAACGGTTTGCATCCTTCAAAAGGTTTGTCACCAACTGGGACGTGTGCTTTCCACCATTATCTTGCTGAAACATCCAGTGGTGACCCAAAAGTAAGACTTGTAGCTGATTCCTTCAAAGTCATCTTCAAAGTGGTCCCTTGAAAACCAGTGAAGAGAAACCGCACCACGACGTGATGCTTCCACCAGTTTTTCAGTGGAAAAATGTGATTTTAGGCCAGAGGGCCTCTTTCTCAAGTTTAATCTCTTCTGACCAAAGAGCAGATTTCCAAACCAGATCACCGTGTTTCAAATGGTCTTTGGCTAAACCTCAGCCGGGCATCGATGTGCCATTGTTTGATCGATGGAGGGTTTGACGTCCTCCACAATAAAGAGCTCTTCCAAACATTCCGGTCACAATAAATAAGTCAATACCGTGATAAAATAAAGCGAGCTCAATCATTTCTATTTACGTCATTTATTGTTTTTCTCCTTCTACCGGAAACTGGATGACAAAGGTCTTCAGTCTGAGAACATGTTCTTGCATTTCACATTATTTGAAAATTGTCTCTAAATAATAATATGGTTATTTATCCCAATAAGTTCTCTGACAGTTTATCATCCAGCAAAATTTGTAATTGTGACAGGCCTACTTCCAAATGTCTCTCTTGACACTTGAGCCCAGCTGATCGACACAAACCTTGGCAGAGGCTCAGACCATTGTTGACATCTCTGGCTATTCTTCTCTCCAGTTTTTGAAATGTTGCACTTTCAGGCTCACCCAGGTTACTTTGCAACCGAATTTGTCTCCTGGCCTTTTGCAGTAATGCATTGCACATCTGCTCTAGACACCAAGAAACGTAGTGCTGGAAGTGACCGTGCAGACTTCATCCTCATGCTCCGACTGAAGCCCAGATTAACTTCTTTTTCATTTTTGGCATAATGAATTTGCGTCTCAGAGTAGACCAAGCGTCTTTTACGGACAGACATGCAGACATACTGCAGCTTGTTATCAACACTTGTTTTAAAATAATGTCACCTTTAAAGCAGCGGCTGGAGCATCGTTTAATGCTGGAAAGCTCAGTAGTTACGGAGCCGAGTTGGCCAGTAGCAGCGCTTCCCAAACAGAGAATACCCAAATAATCGGCTTCCTGACTTTAAAGGATTCAGGATTGTGATGCTCCATCAGAGAAAAGACTTCAAGAATCACTATGTAAGAGGAATTAGATTGACCAACCCAACTCCCCGCTCTGACTGGATTTGGAAACAAATCACCACAGTTCCCGACATCGAGTGTATTCTTTCTTGTTCTGTTTCTGTCCTAATGCAATCTGCTTTTAAGTCGGTGTACGTGAGCTGATGTGGGTCATGCTGAGCAGAGAGACCAGAGAAGATTCCCTCCCTGTCAGAGATCCTCTTTGCCTACCTAACGGCACATCAGGAGCGCGCCCTGCACTGCACCAGCCACTTTCACCGGCCTGCATGGGTTGTGTTCTCCAAAAGCGTTTGGTTGGAAAAAAAAAGAGAAGAAACAAACACACAGCCTGCAGCCCTACCCCAGCTTTTCTATACGTCATTAATGTAAGCTGCTGCGATGTGGGGGAGATTCCAACAAGCAGGGAGGAGAGGAGGAGAGGAGGAATGAGTCACACAGGCCAGCACCCATCGTTTTTATAGCTGCTCAGTTTTGCTGAGAAGACGGCGATGCAGAAAAAACGCTCTTCTGTGCTACATGATTAATAACTATAGCAACATGAGTTCCCGATATGCACAGTATGAGTCAGCTGTCAGTTCCTGTTAAAGAAACACTTAAGAGGTATGGATGCAAATTAAAGACAGAAACTGTAAATAACAGGAACCGGAATTGTGTTTGTAGGATTGCTGGAATCCTGGATGGCTTTCCCTCAAACTCCTGGTGTACCTAATCCTTTGTATTATTTGATTACGTTTAGAAATTGTGGAATATTCACTATTTCGACCTATACTATACATTTTAGATTATTAAGGAGATAAACTCCTGTTAGTTTTTTCCAGAGAACCTCCTTGTAGCTTATAAATTGTGGCGTTCTTATAATTATCTTGCAATCCAGAAGAGGAATTGAAACAAGCCTGGAATGCAGAGAAACATCTTCCAGAACAGGAACATTTAGTTTACTTACTTTAGATCAACATTTCGCACCGTCTACTTCAGAGAATCAAACACGGAGAACCAACATTTGGTTTAATGCCAACTTTCTTTTTACAGGCGATTTCGAAGGCTTTGGTTTGGAAAGTAAAACTATCTTTCACAGTGAACATTGACATCAACAGGATCCACCTTTAAGCTCTAGCGCTAGTGTACTGTGTGTTCCCTGATTAGAAGATTGCATTTGTGGTCACCAAAATGGATCAACGGAGCTGGAGATGTTATGAATCTGGTCAGGAGCCACTTTCTCTGTCCATGTTTGCTTTTAGCAATTTTCCTAAGTGGATTCTTGGATCTGTGTTGTTGCACACAAGCACATTAAAATTGGTTTAGGCTGAGGTGATTTAGATCGGCACGTCGTGACAGCGGACGAGCGTTTCAAGTTTCCGTTGCGGCTTGTGCCGCTTCACACTGTTACTTTTGCTCAAATGAAAGCTTTGACTTGTGAATTTGACTCAACAGAGTTTTGGTTTGGTGTTGTTCCTGCAGGCTGGATGAGACATCATGTCCTCGGCTGAAAGCGAGGATTTATCAGGCTACCGTTTGAGTGGTGAGTGTGTCGTAAATCTGTCATCCATCCATACTACTGCATGTATGCGAGCATAACTTGCTTTTGTTTCAAATTCTTTTTATATTGAGTTATTAGATGCGTCCTGTTTGTTCCCACTCTCTCTGCTCAGATGCAGAGCCTGAAACTCTGGATCTTGATAAAGACACTCTTTGATTGTTTATTTTCCACTCTCAATCATTAAGTGCTGCCAGTTCTGAGGCTTTTTGTCAGTACAACATCAGAGCGGCTTTGAAGACCGTTTTTTTTTTTCCCCCTGTGTGATCCAGTGGTGCAGAACCCACCAGGCTGGGAGGTGGGGATTTACTTGGTGGGCTTCTTGGTGCTGCTTGGTGCAGCGGGACTCAACATCTGGAAGCTGTGGAAATCTGGAACCTTCCCCGCCCCCTCGCCATTCCCCAATTTTGATTACAGATATCTGCAAGAGAAATATGGAAACTCCTTCTCAGAAGTCAGACAAAAGGTAATATTTGCTTAAACTTTACTAAGAAAAAGTAGCTTCCTGTTTAGCTAACAAGTTCAGTCTTCAAGTGCCTGGTGTTGTGTGATCTCAACTCTCTTCTTATATTTTTTTTCGCATGTAGGTTTTTTGTTTTTTTTTTTGCCTCTGACACCAATTTTAAGCTTAGTTAAAATATGTTGATAAAGCCCGAGTGAAATGTTGATCAGCTGATCAGAATATTTTCTTTGAACATCATTCAGTTTAGTGACAAGTGTTTCGGCTGCTTTCTCCTCGGTTCTCACACGAACAGTGGTCAGAGAAGGTCACATGACACGTAGTCAGGAAGCTACTGGAGAGGCTCTGAAATATCAACGCGAGTAAAACTGTGACACAGATTCTTGAGATGAAAGTCTCAGACTGCTCAACAGCAACTGGTACTGAGAGTTGAATCAGGGAAAGTGACGTAAATTTTATTTGACTTAAATCTACTTAACCTAGTAGGCCTTAATCTGCTAGGCTAAGGTCCTATCTTCCTTTTGAAGATGGGAAGTTCTTCAAAACTTCCCATCTTTGGTGTTCTAATCATCTCCTTCTCTCTCCTCTCTGAAGAGAGTGGCGGCCATCAACCACCGGCGCACCTCCACCACTTCCAGCCGTAAGCCCAGCCTGGCCCTCGGCGACACCCCCGACGCGTTCAGGGAGCTGGGCCACCTGGAGCTGATGAGCAGGGAGCTGGACCCGACGGGCTTGGCTCAGCTCAACCGCTCCGTCTCCACCGACTCGCTCAGCTCCATCTCCTCCATCGCAAACAACTTTGGTCACGACTTCACGGTCGGCCAGCTTGAAGTGACCCTGGAGTTCGACGCGCCTCGGCAGCTGCTCCACATCGCCCTGTACCAGGGAAAGGACTTGCTGGAGAAGGAGGAAGGGGACTTCCCCGGTTGCTTCATCAGAGTGTCACTGGGGCCAGAGGAGTTCAACGTGGGAGTGACAAGGGTGAGGTCCTCTCCTTTGAATGCTGGTGTGAGCAATGTCGGTTAGGCTTGTTCTTTCTTATACGATACAAAGGAAATGCTCTATCAGTTACTTTGTAGTTTACTGCCTGATCCAAACATGAAAAACACAGTGGAGTTGGCCAGAACCGGACGAGGTACCGTCAGTCCCATGGCCAGACTGTGTCACCAGGTTATTGAACCTTTCTGCTGTAACTGCTAGCGCTAGTGGTTCAGTGGAAATGTCTGAACGTCTTTGCTCAAAAGAAGTCAAATTAAGTTGACATCAAGTAGCAAACAAACAATTTTTTGAAATAAAATACTCCACAAACTGCATTGAAAACATGTTAGCCACTCCTGGACCAGCAACGTTAGCCTTTGTGACCCAGTAGACTTGCCCTTTCCTCCCATTACGAACGCTTTCGACGGCCCTGCTGTGTCAACATCATATTAGAGTCGAACAATTAATGATGTAAATAACATTTATGAGCCTCATAACGCGATATATAAATAAATACGAAAAAATTTGTTGCAGCTGCTGTTTTGCTTTTCATCCTGCCTCGTTTTCATCATTTGCGCCCCAGCAGTTGCTTCTTTTAGCTGCTAATAGTTCACCTTTCAGAGTTCTGCCATAAAATTCACAGCTAATTTTTGCCGCCGCCTTCTAATACGAAACAAAAGGAAAGCGCCTGCGTCCCTCCGCCTGCTCCGCCTGCCGTCTGTTCACACCTCCTCGTTGCCAGGACTCCCTGCTCGCGGTCCCAGCTGGCTGTGAGTCATCTCTCCGCTGCGTGGCTCTGTTTCTTCAGGCTGACATGTTGGATGCACAGGCTTATCGGCCTGCCGTCAATGATGGCTGCGGCCTCCGATGCAGCAGCATCGACACTCTGAGGTGTTCCTGACATCAGCTTCACTCATTAGCGGTCAAGCAGGCTCCTTTCTTTCACTTGTTCTTGTTTGTCCTAACATCAGGCACCTCTATGTCGTTACATCGTCCCCCCCATTCACCCGCCGCCTCTCTTTACAATTCTTTTCTTTTGTTCCCTTATCATCTCGTCTTCTATATATTTGCTACCACGGCTTCTTGCCTTGATCCTCCCCTGTAATAATCTTTCTATTTCTGCCGTGGCTCACTCTTACACACGTCCACACACACTTACACACGTTCACACACCCATACACAGGTCCACACACCCATACACACGTCCACACACACTTACACACGTCCACACACCCATACACACGTCCACACACCCATACACATGTCCACACACACTTACACACGTCCACACACACTTACACACATCCACACACACATAACAGCCCTTTGCTATGATTTTCTGACTTTCAGTCCCATGACAGAATCAGTAGTTGCACATGTTTAGGAACAAAATGAGCGTTGTTAAAATGTTTTTTTTTTGTAATTGATATTCTCTTTTTCTTCCACACAGGTAGCTGTAATTTCTTTCTTGGTTTTCTGCGAAGTCACATCCCAAGGGTGTTAAATAAAGACTGTTGCATCATCTTTAATAGCTAAACGTGTTACTTGGTCTTAAGTACTCTCTGTTCTGTGCCGATCAGAACCAAATGCCATTAGCCCACAGTGTCTTGTGAAAGATTTCACACACCTTTAGCCTTTGTTTTTAGAATATTTTACTTCAGCGTGTTTTATGTGATAGATCAGAGCAAAGAAAAAAAAAGAATAGCGTCATTGCACAGTGGAAAGTAAATGGTTTTCTTTTCCTTTTGTTTGGGACTGGAAATTGCTTCTGCAAGTCTTACTGAATTTTTTTATTTTACTGTTTTTTAAACCAAAAAAATAATAATTTTTTATTCTTATTTCTTCGCCCTCCATCTCCTGATCGGATGGAGGGCATTTGTGGACTTTTAATTCTTGCCAAAGTCTCTCAGTTACACTCAAGTCTGGGCTTTAACTAGGCCATGCTAACTCTGTCCTAGTTATTCTAATTTCTTTGTTCCAACCAAGCATGGGCTGGTATGAAACTATGAAGGTATCCTAAAGTAAAAATACCACAGTTTCATGTTATCACAGCTTTTTTTATTGCAGCTATCCTAAAATGTATCAGTTGAATTTACAGTGGCCACATAAAGGACTTTACATTGAGACCAGAAGTAGTGGAGAGCATCACTTATAGCTGTTCAGTCAACAGGTTCTCCCACCTGAGCTGTGGAGTTTTACAGCTCCTCCAGGGTAAAAGTGGCTTTTTATCTGGTTGTCTGATGAGCCCCATGTGCAGTCACTAAGTCAACCACAAACTCCTCTTTGTAGTATCAAAGTATTCTTGAGTCAGACGTGAAGCCTCTCTCCGTCTCGTTCCCGCAGGTCCAGACGAACGCTTTCACCGTCATCTTTGACGAGCGCTTCTCCGTCCCCATGGCCCAGGCCGCCCTGGACGAGTACAGCCTGCGCTTCGCCGCGTTTGGCATCGACGCCGACGAACGGAACATCAGCGCAGGCTTGGCCGAGCTGAAGCTGTCGGACCTGGACCTGACCATCAGACCGTTCAACGCCTGGCTCTACCTCCAGGACGTCAATAAGGTCCTCACGACCTGAATTCAGCGATAGAAAGGATCGCAGCTGAAAATAGGCTTCCAGTTTGAAGCTCATTAAAGTTCCAAAACAGAAAAATGTAATTGGAGCATCTCACTGTTCACATTGTGGAGGTTGCAGACAGCATGAAGTGGTGTTTCGTACCCTCTGCTGGCCACTAAACAAAACTGCACGTCTGTTTTAATAAGCATCAGTAGAAGTTGAAATTCATTGAGCATATCTTTAGCAATTGTTGCTTCATGAATCACATGGGACGTTAAAGTGTAAGCAGCGAATGCAGATATGAAACTTTGGGCCTGCGTAGCAGAACCAGAAGTTTGTGGTGTCATACAGAAAGATTGTAGATTCAGTGTCTTTGCCCGCCCAACTCAAATGTTTCAGACTTTGAATTTTTTTTGTTAAATAACTAAATGATCATTTGTTTTTGTTTTTTTTCTTTTTTACAATAATTTCTTCAATGGCTAGTTTTTTAGTTGACTAAATATTAGCTGTCAATGACTTCTTATGAGTTTCCATTCCAGAATCCGTTCCAGAAAGTATTCCGATTTCCTCGTGCAGCATCTGCCTTAGTTCACACGTCTTGCCACTGATTCACCTGCAGGTCAGGATTACAGTGCAGCTGCAGGAGCTTCTTACCTCTCTGCGTGTTTGAACCCGCAGGCCGTGGATGCGGTCGGGGAGATTTTGCTGTCTCTCAGCTACTTGCCGACGGCAGAGCGCCTCACGGTGGTCGTGGCCAAGTGCAAGAACCTAATATGGACCAATGAAAAGAACACGGCAGGTGAGGAGCGGCTCCACGGAACGTTGTTTTTCTGCTTCTGAGTTTATTTGTCATGTAAAGTGATCTCACCTATGTACATGTAATTGATCGTGGCACATCACCACTGAGGTACACAGAGGAGTATACTTATTATTTTAAAAGTTTACGACACAGTGCACAACATTGTGCAAAACCCTTCATGTTATATTGGCTTTCAAATCGCAAAGCACTTTAAAAGTTTCACACAATGTGTCATTGAGTGCTGACAGAAATTCAGTGTGGGAGGATGTATTGGTCGTCATCTAGTCGGGTAGCTGAGCTATGAATCACTCGCCTCACTTGTTCTAAGGGTAAAGGTCACCTGAGCTAATCGTGTCTGCTCCATGTGAAATTCCTGTGCACACTCAGCAAAATAAGGGGATGGGTGATTCTAATCTAATCGTGTTTGTCGCTGTACAGAGAGCCAGGAGAAGCTGCTCTAATGCGACTCTGGTTCTCCGCCATTAGATCCATTTGTCAAAGTGTATCTGCTGCAAGACGGCAGAAAGATCAGCAAGAAGAAAACCTCCACGAAACGAGACGACACCAACCCGATCTTCAACGAAGCCATGATCTTCTCAGTGCCGTCCGCTGTCCTGCAGGTGACGCTTCATTTGATCAATGAGGGGTATTGATCAAATCAAACTGTTTCATCAATGGTTTTATTGATAAGTCACCAGAAAAACAAAACAAAACAGTTGCAGTAGAGTGAAAAGGTGCAGTTTTTAGAACGAAAAAAATAATCAGTTTGCCTTTGCCAAAAAAATGTGAGTGTAAATAATTTTAAAAGGAAAAACTTTCAATATTTTGCATATATTAAGTTTGTATATAGTTTTTTTTTCTCAAGAATCCAGAGCATTTGATTTGTGGCATGGAGAGATGGGAAAAGTAACAACAACAACAAAAAAAGGCTTTTGGAAAAACGGTTGTCGACTGAACTAAACGACTTGAATTGTTTTAGTTATTTTATTTTTCTGACTAAATTGGCTACCAGTTCTGTACATTTTCTCAGTTTGTACATGATAGCTGTCACTACATTCCACAGATTTGACCTTTTCCACCCGAAAACTCCTTTCTCGATAAAACCAACAGGGAACTTTGCATTTTTTTTCTCCAGCCAGTTTCATAATAGCTTGGAAAAAAAACAAGCGGAGTCACGTCCGCAGAGCCTGTTTTATGTAACCGTGTCGCTGTGCTGGCAGGAGCTCTCCCTGAGAGTCACCGTGGCGGAGGCCACAGACGACGGACGGGGCGAAAACCTGGGCCACGTGATCATCGGCCCCGAGGCCAGCGGCATGGGGATCACCCACTGGAACCAGATGCTGGCCACGCTGAGGAAGCCCGTCTCCATGTGGCACCCGCTGCGCAGGATCTAACCCCACACACACACACACACACACACACACACACACACGCACACACCTTCACCATGGAAAATCTTCTTCTCGTTCCTTTGGACTCTTGTTTGGTGCCGCGTTACAACGTTAGGATGTACATTTGTGAGCGATTTTATTGGTACCACATATATATATTAATATATATATATATATATATATATATATATATATATATATATATATATATATATATATTTGGTTAATTAGACTGTGGTAATCAATCAGTTTTAGTCTAAGTTTGGTTCTCTATTAAACAACAGAAGGAGACATGGATGTGAAATGGTTTTCTTCCTTCCACAGGACTTTCAGCTTAGAGTTTGGGTTGAAGTGTTTGGTAAGAAAACTCCCTGTACTTGCATGGTGCCTACTCTGGTTGTAGCCTCTCATATGTGTGTTGACCGACAGGGAGGCGCAGGGCGGGCGTCGCTCCTCTTTCAGGAAAAAAAAAACACAATCGTTTGTCATTGATTGCGCCTTGTTGGTTTATTATTTCCTGGTGGATTCTGAGCTGTTTTAAAATTGGCTTGTGTAACTTGTAAAGAGTGATACTGAGAGAGTTTTTTTTTTTGTTTGTTTGTTTTTGTTTTTTATTTATTGTACCTTTAAAAAGATGTATATCCAGGTACTTTTATCCAGGTGAAATAATTGTAATCTGTAGCAGTTGTTTCAGGGTGGCCGCCAATCTATGTTTAACGCAATAAGCGCCGTGACGCTCTTCTCTCATTCTCATTTTTGTTGTTCCTCCAAAAATTCTGCGTCCAAAATCATGTTTTTTTCCGACATTAAACTTATTCAGAAAAAAAAAACAAGCTTTAGCATAAATATCATCATTGACCAGTTAACTATAATCAAAGCTCCTCTGGGAATTTAACTTGTAATGTAAAGCATACTAACCCCTTTGTATGAGAGAGAAAAAAAACCCCTCGATGATCTGCATTTTACAGCAGCGTGACAAGAGGCTCACAAAGCTCAGACTGTCAGCGTGACCTCTGATCTGCCTGAGATATCCTCTAGACACGTGTGCAGTTGTATTTTACTGTAACTTTTAAATGAACATATTTAACACATAATCAACCCTGGGCATTGCGGCGCGATTTAATTATTATTATTTTGTTAGTTTTGTTCGGTTGGAACTTCATGTCACTTCTCGTTTTGCAAATCTGTTCAAAAAAATAACACGTATGGTAATATAGAAGAAAAATAACATTTCCTATGTGCCAAATAATGAAGCAATATTGTCATCCATTGTCACAATTTGCATTCAACAAAGCTGTAGCCTACATTTGGCCATGCATGAAGATCCTTGGCACCTGATGTGAATGTGCCTCAAGAATACAGTGTATAGCGTGAATGCTGTTTCAAATAAAAAATAAATAAATTTAAAAAAATAAATTAAATAAGATTGATTTATTTGTTTATCTCTCTTGGGCTCATCTTTCAGACCTCCACAAATTCAAAAGTATAATAAAAAATAATAAAAAAGGATTAAAGACAGGAAACAGAAGGAATTCAATTAAAACTTGCAAGTGAACGACTGACTGACTGCAAGATCACTGGACTCAGAAATCACTCTCACTGAACATAATGGGCATACAAGAAGAAAACAGCGAAAGAAAACTTCATATGATGGCGATGGTGTCCAGTGAGTAGAAGGAAGAAAAATGTTTTTTTCCCCACATGTAACAATATTTCTGTTTCAAAGAGGTGCGGTTCCGAGCGCTGACGAATGCATGTGCATTAGAAATCTATGGAAACCAGGTTCTGAATTACATGCTTATGCCGAGTCAGCATATTTTCTTAGAACAAGATGACGTATTTAAATGTCAGGTGTGAATACACAGTGTGAACTCTTGCTGAGGTGGAAGCAAACAGTCAAACAGACCATGTTTGCGCAACACTTGAGAGACAAACTAATAAAGCCTGTTACAGTCTGACAATACTGACAGACAATAAACAGTACCAGGCCAGTAAGAAGAACAAAAAAAAAACTCATTATTGTTATTATGACTAAGTGAAAAAGAACAAGGTGTAAGTGTAACCTTTTTAATTATTATTGCTTTTCGGTTATTTTATGTTACATAAGCTAACAAACAGTCAACTGAACGTTAGGTGTCGCTGTAATAAAAGTGTATCTTCGTCTTTGATAATTGACTCAAAGTGGCTATAACGTTATATAAACTCAGCTTGTTTCTTTAAAAGACAAATCGGTCAGTTCAGTCCTGTCAGCCAATCAGGAATGAGGGGCGAGGGAGAGGCGGAGTCACGTGGGACAAAGTCCAGGAAGACTTCTTCCTGTGGCATCGATGTAAACAGATAACGGTTTTCTCCGAGACACCCACCGTGCAGTTAGTGGTCCCGACGTGCGGTTTTGTGCAAGATGGCGGAGACCAGAGATAAAACCACCGACCAGATGAAGATATGGAAGGAGAACAGAGGCTCCCAGGTTTGTACAAACGCTGCATTTTTATCAAGAATTTCGCTTTCACTGTGTCCGACTTGCAGGAATTGGGTGAAGGGTCGCCCGGGGTAACGAGTCGAATCCCGTCGATTGTTACTGACGTCAAGCTAATCTTAAACATGCTAATAAGTGTAGTTTAAATCAGAACTCCGGCTTTGTGGTCGTTTTGATGCAGTAGTTGAGGGAGGCTGCTCGTGTTTTGCTAACCGAAATGTAAACAACGCCATTAAGCGAGAGCATTTAGGTCACAAACAAGTGAGCTCCCGAAATGTCTCGCGTGGGTCAAATTAAGTTGAAAGACGTGAAAGTGGGCCGTATTTATTGCATAATGTGGAACTTGAGCCTTTAGTTGCATAACAAGACCACAGCACAGTCTACATTAGTCTGCTAAACTGACTGAAGTCTGTTTCTTCTTGCAGCTGAATGCGAGGGTTTAACGCAATTCAGCTCTGAAAGTGTTTTCCTGACTCAGTTTGCCTCATTGACGCACTTTTATTTATCACACTATACAAGTTGCATATTAAACTATTCATGTTTATGTAAAAAAAAGGGGGGGGGGGACAATTATTCGGGTAAAGTCAGTGCTATTACACTTAAAAAGGGTTTAGTTAAACCACATATTTTGAAAACCAGCTTAATATGTGAACAACTTAGTAAGTTAATGTAAAACAAAGATTAAAAAAATGCATTTCAAAGCACATGATTTCTTGTGAAAAGTAAGCAAAGTACTGATGAGCTGTATATATTGTGTGTTTTTATAAAGTGATATTTGCAGGGTGTTGAGAACCAGTTGGGTCAATTTATTGCATTCGATTTTCATTGTAAGTTGTGGAAAGTTTTGACCCACATTCATGATACTTGATGTTATAAATGTTCAATGGTTAAAATAAAGGCCTGCTACTTGATGTGCTGGCTCTTTTTGGTATTCGACCACAAGATCGTATTCGTTTTCAGTATAATTCAACTCTTGATTTTCCTGCCATCTTCACAAACCACCGTCGTGCTGGTTTTATTGGCCCGTTACTCTTCTTTTTATGTCGTGAAGGAAGACAGGCGACGACAAAGCCAAAACTCTGTCCTTTCAGACAATGTTTGGACCTTTCTGTGAGACGTGAATAAAAATGTCAGGTATAAAGATTCTTTTTTTTTTTTTGCCCTCCATAGACGGGTAAATAAACATGCTGCCTTTTCTGTTTTCCCTCTTGCCTAATCTAGATCTGCGGGTGATCAGCAGACTCGTCGGATTGATGTTGATACATTTAGAAAAGGAGAGGTGGAGCTGTAGAAGAATGTGCCACACAGACAAATGATTGATAGTTTTGGCTGCTCTGGGTTTTAAGTTCATACTGCTGAGATATTTCCCAGTGTGCCTACGTAACCTTAAGAAGTCTTACATTCATAGATCTAAAATTAAAGACTGTCTGAAATTAATAGGAAAATGGCCTCAGATACATTAATCACAGGTCTTAAACATTGTTATGGCAGGACTATTTCATCTTGTATATCCTATGTAGTTCATTGTTCTCCCGGCGCCTTTTGTGTCGGGCAAAATTAGCATTTGAGGCTACCGCTAACTAGCTGCTAATAAACACTAGTTAGCTAGTTTTCTTGTGTGCATCAATGATAATGGCAAATTTATGGCCAGCTGACTGGATGACCTTCATCATCGCCACTGCCTCACTTCTGCTACCAATTCGTACGATACAATCCGCATTCTGTGCAAAAGAATGACATAAAATGTGATTTTCTTTTGTGCATTTCTGTGGTTGCGTGTCTTTAATTTCATTCATAGTGGTCTTAAAAAGTCTTAAATTTGAGTTAATTGTATTTACTTCTGTTGTATTCATACAGAGGAATCCAATTTTTTTTCTCTCATCCAAAGAAGGTTTTGACATTAAGATGAATTTAAACACTATTAATACTGTTGTGGTAATAAACATGTGAAGTTAGGGGCGTAGTTGTTAGCCAGGGTAATGTGTATTAGCAATTTTTCAGTCTGCTTTCCATTGTGTTACTCTTTGCTTGTCACCTCATGAGAAGCACTTTTAATAAGAATAAGTATGAACGGTATGAGCCAAAACATCAATATATATATATAGATATATTTTAAATTCTTGGACTGTATTTGGTTCCAGAGACCAGATGTGCTAACTACAGGAGGTGGCCATCCCGTTGGGGACAAGCTCAACCTGCAGACTGCAGGGCCGAGGGGCCCTCTGCTCGTGCAGGATGTGGTCTTCACCGATGAGATGGCCCACTTCGACCGGGAGCGAATCCCAGAGAGAGTGGTGCACGCTAAAGGCGCAGGTTAGCTGACCATGGTCTTACAGCTCATGTGTTTTGGAATCAAGGTCTCATTTTGCTTTGATAAACCAAGTTTAACCATTCCAGGCAGCAAGATTTAAGGAGTTTTTTTTCCTAGGAACTGCTTTTCATAAATAATAATTTAACTTCTTACTATACGTGTGTAATTTAATTTCTGAGCTCTTTTTGTTCGAAGGAATGTTCTAGAAGGTTTACAATATCACTATTGTTTTCCACATCTTTAAATAAACAGCAAGCCCTCTTGAAAGCTGCTACACTGTTCTCAATGCTGACACGCTGAAACGTTCAGCAGCTTCAATGGAAACACAATTTTTAAAATTTTTCTTCCCATGATGCAGGCGCGTTTGGCTACTTTGAGGTCACTCATGACATCACTCGCTACTGCAAGGCCAAGGTGTTTGACCATGTTGGAAAAACGACTCCCATCGCTGTCCGTTTCTCCACTGTGGGTAAGAGACTCGCGTTCATTCACTCAATTTTCCTACAATGTGATCCACTGTTGTAATTTTTCATCTCAAGAACCAAAAATTGTGTTGACACATCTAGCTATCTGACTACAGTATGCAGCGTGAATACACGCTAGCTACTTGCTAGCTAGCTGCAGTGTCGCAATATGTATATTTTTTTCATTTCACCGTGATGTTCACACGCCTCTATTCCTGCAGCACCCACATTCTGTTCTGTTCATGATGGCAGAGGATGCTGAGCGTCTTTTAATACGTGGCTTTGTTACTTGTGTTACTGATGTAGAAAATATCAGCAACACAAGTGTAACAAATCTGCACAAAACAAACTGAATATGACAAACGATGATTAAAGTGCTTGTGTCCTCAGCTGGGGAGTCTGGCTCAGCCGACACCGTCCGAGACCCCCGAGGCTTCGCTGTAAAGTTTTACACCGAGGAGGGGAACTGGGACCTGACGGGCAATAACACCCCCATTTTTTTCATCAGGGATGCGATGCTTGTAAGTTGGCGTTTAAAATTTGGAATTCAAGTGAGAAGATCAAACTCTTTATTTTTTATTTTATCTGTGCCGTTTCTTTTCTCTCTCTCTCCCCTCCTGCAGTTTCCGTCCTTCGTCCATTCCCAGAAGCGTAACCCTCAAACCCACATGAAGGATCCTGACATGGTGTGGGACTTCTGGAGCCTGAGGCCTGAGAGTCTGCATCAGGTAGCTGCGGATATTCAACCCTTGGCACTTTCAGAAACTAAATTAAACACATTTTCTAAAATGATTTGGTAATGGGGATCTTGCGAATGAGTCACAGTCGCTCCCGCTGATGAACATTTTTATCTGGTTTATTCGTCAGTATCTAATTTAACACGCTCCTTTTTTTTTATACTTTCGGACTTTGAAGACAATCTGTTTGTTACAGATTGTCTGAAGCCCTCCACATGTCTCCTTCCTGTTCATGTTTATTAAGATTCTCGTTAGAATCAGTAGTAAATTAGATTAAAAAAATAGACAGACTACATTCACAAGAAATTATATCATAGATGAGGTATTAAAATGAAAAAGTAAACAGTCATTTAAGGTTTGGTTTACTTTGTCTTATAAAGGACTGCAACTATTATAAACAAATAATTTAGTTTCTTCTTTTAAAATAGGGAAAGATAATTGTATTGGCTGAAATTCAATAAAAGCCTTTCTGTAGTGAATTTGAACAGATTGAATATAAAAAATGACACTTGAGGAGTTTTTGTTAAAGTATAATGACAAACAAAGGTGTATACGTTTAGTCTTATTTTATCTTTTTGCTCTGAATATGTTGGGGTTGTTGAGCATTTTTACTCCAGTTAATGATTAATTGATTACTAAGTTGATGATTAATCAGATTAAATGTTTCAGCCTTGTATACTATGATTCTTTCATATATAAAGCACATGCGATTATCAAAGGATCGTATCAAAAGGACTTTACTGCCATCTTGTGGTCAGTGATCAGAGCTAATTTCATTACCCTCAGTTTGATTTGAAGTCAGTTCGACAGCAATAAGAGTCATAAAACATTTTTTTTGTGTGTGTAAATAAACTCAGGTAAACCTTTTCTGTTTTTTCCTCACAGGTGTCGTTCCTATTCAGCGACCGAGGCCTACCTGACGGCCACCGCCACATGAACGGCTACGGTTCCCACACCTTCAAACTGGTCAACGCTGACGGCGAATGCGTCTACTGCAAGTTCCATTACAAGGTCTGTTTCTGAAACTGGTTTGTTGCTTTGCAGAGCTCTGTAATGGACTTTGTTTTTTTTTCTCTAAAGACTGATCAAGGAATCAAAAACCTGTCTGTGGAGGAGGCAGACCGCCTCGCAGCCACCAACCCAGATTACGCCATCGGAGACCTGTTCAACGCCATCGCTAACGGCAACTTTCCATCCTGGACCTTTTACATCCAAGTCATGACCTTTGACCAGGCGGAGAGGTTCCAGTTCAATCCCTTTGATCTCACCAAGGTACGGAGTCCCAACAATGTGAAACGGCTGATTATCCCTTCAGTTTGAGCTTTTGTTAAAGAACTAAACTCTGGGTTCCTCTGAAGTGGAGGAGAACCTTTTAACCAAACCGCTTCCTTCAGTGTCTCTCTTGAACGCGTTCGTCTCGTTTTCAATCGGCAACATCTAAATCATGAGCTACTTTTCCAACTCTCCCAGGTGTGGTCTCATCAGGACTTCCCTCTGATCCCGGTGGGCAAACTGGTCCTCAACCGGAACCCAGTCAACTACTTCGCAGAGGTGGAGCAGCTGGCCTTCGACCCCAGCAACATGCCTCCAGGCATCGAGGCCAGCCCCGACAAGATGCTGCAGGTGACACAGTAAACCGCATCAGCTGAGAAAGCAGTGTTGACATTTACCAGAGGTTGACCTCATCCGGCTCGGCGTAGGGTCGGCTCTTCTCCTACCCAGACACGCATCGCCATCGGCTGGGAGCCAACTACCTGCAGATCCCGGTCAACTGTCCCTTCAGGGCCCGCGTGGCCAACTACCAACGAGACGGCCCCATGTGCATGTCTGATAACCAGGGTGAGTTCTTCACCTGCTGCTCTGCCTTAAAAAGTCTTTAAGTCTTAAATTTATGTCCGAAATCAAGACCTTAAAATGTCTTGAAACTAAGTTGGCCTTTAATGTGTCTTAAATTTGATCTTTACACGACTCTATTCCATAGATTATATATATATATTTTAATTTCTGTCAGGCAAAACTTTGAGGGTTCAGGCACCCACTGCTAACATACTGTTGCTAAATCGCTAGTTAGCGTTTTTTTTTTTTTTTGCATCTTGGGTAAATGCTAATTCATCACCAGTTGGCTGGACAAAGTTTGCATGTTTTTATGGAGATGTAGGTATATTAAACTGAATTTTTAATAGTCTTAATAATACTAACTTTTGAATTGGTAAAACACCAAAAACTGTATTATTATTATTAATATTAATGCATTTATGCTGTGCAGTTCACTATTAGTGGCGCTAAATTTTCAGTGTCATGACACAGCTGTAAGAATCAAATGTATGAATAACAAGAATAAGTACAAATAAATAGTCTCTTATGTATTCACAAATATCAAATGTAAAAAAATAATCTGTCAGTTCAAAGGGAAAAAACAACTTAGATGGACACTATGACTTTAAAATGACCCGAATTGAACATGTTGACGTTTATTTATTCATGCGGTTAAAACACGTTTGTGGTGATGATTAATCAACTGATGTGAATTTCTTCACACGCTCTTCTGCCTTTGTCCCTTCTGATGTTTATATGCTTAATCCAATACAATTTTTAAAAACCTGCCTCTTAAACTCAACAAGTTCTTGCTCCGTCCGACCTCTAGGCGGCGCTCCAAACTACTACCCCAACAGCTTCAGCGCCCCGCAGACCCAGCCTCGCTTCGTGGAGTCCAGGTTCAGCGTTTCGCCCGACGTCGCCCGTTACAACAGCGAAGATGAAGACAACGTGACGCAGGTGACGCCGCTGCCTCTAATAGCCTCTCTGTGGCTGTTTGCCAGCCGCATACAGGAAGTCCATGTTTTCAGCCTGTTGAATTCAGTGTAGAAAATGGTTTAAATATATCCTTCGAAGCCCATACCAGTGAAACAATAAACGGTTACGTGGAGTCACCAGCAGAGTACCATGGAGTCTCATGCATCTAAAAATGTCCACACCTGCGCCGTCCTTGTGGCTTCATGTACGTTTGGTACGTTGGTGTAACTTGAAACTGGAGCGCAATGGAAACATAACAATTAGACCAAATCATCTTTTTCTCCTCAACAACGCTCACTCTAGAAATCAACATGTAGCTGGGTTTTTCCCAGCATGTTGGATGCAATAATATATCCTTAAGCTTCTAAAATGGAGAATTCACCAACATATCAATTGAAATTATACCAAAAATATGGCTAACACTTTATGTGAAGGCAAGAATAACGTCATGAACATGAAGGAGTCGTCATGAACGTCTGTGACTGATGTCATGAAGTGTCAACTTTGCATTAATAGTGTCATTATTAACCAAATGACACTACATGACATCGAATAAGTTTCCTCTGAAATGATCGACCTTCCCAGTAATGTTGATGAGGGAGTGATTGGTGTGGAGGAATGTGTTGACTGTGTTGACTGTGTCTGGTTCTGACCGGGTCCGTGTGCGGCCGGCTGCAGGTCCGGGCCTTCTACACCCAGGTGCTGAACGAGGACGAGCGCCAGCGGCTGTGCCAGAACCTGGCCGGGTCCCTGAAGGAAGCCCAGCTCTTCATCCAGAAACGAGCGGTGAGTCAGGAGAAGAGTCACTACTGAGGCCTTTAAAAAGATGATTTCTCTGCTTAATCCTCTTCAACCACAAGGTGTCGCTGCATGAAACTAAACATGCACGCCTGCTTGCTTTGTGGTTATGTTGTCGCTATGGAAACAGTGAAAACATTTTTAAACACCATGGTGAACACAGCCCGACATTTAAAGCAACACAATTTATTTATTTATTTTTTAAGTTTCCTGCTTTCAAGTTCTGTAAGGCTTTGACTAGGACATTTCAGATGTTATTTTAGTAATTCAACCACGTTATGCAAAAATGAATCCAAATCTTTGACATTTTAAGATTCAAGCTGTTATTATTTCTTGTAAATTTTGATAATTATGAATTATAGATAATAAAATCCTGACATTCAGTGTCAAAAACAAATGAGAATATTTACATAACAGCCATTAAAAATCAGCATTTTTAATGTGTAAATGTTGCGTAATGCTCCATGTCGTGGCCTGGGTTGAACACCAGAACGGATCTATGAGGAAAATGAGGAACGCCATCAGCGGACACTTCCACTTTCAGTTTTTTCTCGACCGATGGCCTCCGTGTCACGCTGCATTGATGCAGTAATTCATGCTAAACGAGCCTCAACCAATCACTGAGTCCGCTAAAATGAATTCTCACATTTCTGTTTGAAATATCCTCTTTTTGTAAGATATGTTTAAATTGTCTGGAATGCTGCATTTTGGCTGAGTGTGTTCCAATATTTGGTTTATTTTAAGTCATGATTATTAACCTTCAGATGTTACGCAGTTTAAAATAACTTCCTCTGGAAGTGGGAACCTTAAATGACATTTATTCTTTCCTCTAATTTGTTTTCTTGAGCGCCTTTATCTCGCTTTATCTCCACAGGTGTGACTCACCACCGCAAAGTTAATTTTAAACATTTGAACGAGAAATGATGCATTGGTGTCACAGCAGCCACATTTACCGCTCTGGTTTTCTGTTTCATGGGGGAAAAAAACAACCTCTGTTTGCGCCTGTTGTAAATCTGCTGCCAGAGTTGTAATTTGCACAACCTTTTGCTCGTCTCTCATTTTTTGTGCACATTTATTCGATGCTCTTCCCGCAGGTGGAAAACCTGAAGGCCGTCCATCCAGACTACGGGAACCGGGTTCAGGCCCTACTCAACAAGTACAACGCCGAAGCCAAGAAGGTAAACAAACAGTCGATCCGCCATCGCAGAGTAAAAAAGTTCAGTTAACAGGAACCTGTCCGTTTCCTAACAAGCCCATTTCCCGTCTGCGTCCCAGAATACGAACGTCCGTGTCTACAGCCGTCCAGGAGCCGCCGCCATCGCCGCCTCCTCTAAGATGTGATCAGCTGATCTGCTCACATGACCATCGACTGGTTCCAGCAGCAGCTGGATCAGCCTCAACGGGCGAATTACTGTCGCAGTACTGCTGTAGCAGGTTTTGGCTCATTGCAAACAGTTAATCCAAACTTTTTTATTAATGATCAAAAATTAATTTGATTGCATTGAATACTATAAGGTAATACTGTTGAGATTAGGCTACAGTTTTATTAAATTACCTTTAATCCATCGATGCCTTATTATTGTTTCAGTTAAATTCAGTTAACCAACAGTAATTGATGAACCGTTTCTCTAATGATGTAATACTAGAAGATGTTTGTAGCGACTCAAACAAAGTTCATTTTGAAAGAACATTTGTTTGAAGCGATGCTGATCTGTGCCTGGCTTGTTTAGCTCAGATTTGACTGAATCACTCACTGTTGAATGTTAATATACAACTTAATAAAATATTCTGTTTTCAAATAATAAAATCATTCAAAATACTAGAGGGCTGAATATTTTCTTCTGCTTATGTAGATGCCTTTATGACGGTTTAACATGAGACGATCTGAAAAGAAAAAAGTTCCTTCTGCAATCTGAACAAACGTATATCTCTGTCAGAAACAACCAATCAGAACCAGTGCTGTCAATCATGCTCGTGGACGCTCAGGCTTGTGGATGCTCAGGCTCGTGCGCATGGCCACCAAAGATGGCGGATAAATGTTTTTTTTCTGGAGTGGTAAGTTTTTTCTCTGCCATTCATAAATTTAACAGTTTGTTCACAAGCATGACTGACTGCTTCCTCTTTGAACTTCCTCCTGGCTCTGATTGGTTGAATCTGACCAGATTACCTGTCTCACATTTTACTGTCAGCAGTCACAATTTTAAGAAAACTGACTTTTTTTTACAAAAAGCATTTTTTTGTGTGTATAAACAAACATCTTGCTTCCTTAGCATATTTCCTTGAAATAATGTGTGTGCGTCATGTTCCTCTTAAAAGATAATAGGATGCTGTCCAGGTAATTACAGTTGAGAAATGAGGAAGAAAGTCACAATGGCTTTCTGTATCTTAAGCTCTTCGGAGGCTCAATCCGCTTCAGTTCTCCAGAACCTAACGCTACAGCGATGGCCACAGCTCCACCAGATAAGGGTCACCAACCAATGGTTGTCACTTTGCCCCAGTATGTCACCACTGAAGTCCAGGCTCAGCCTCACATGGTGGTCCATCAGAACGTTGTGAACATCGCGGCCGTGCAGCCCAGAGACGACATCATCTGGTCTCTCGTTTGCTTCGCGTATGGAAATCCGTTCTGCCTGGGTCTGGCGGCCCTCATCTTCTCCGTAAAGGTCAGTTTTTACACCTTGGTGGTATTTATCATCGGTTAAGGAAGCAGTTTGGAGTGAAGCCTGATGGTCGTGAGTGAAGATTTTATTCCCAACTGCAGGCCGAGTCACAGTTGGGTCCGTCACTATGACTAATTTTGCCGGACGAGAAGTTGCCCCAGAAGTTATTGCGATAAACGATGAGGTTGTTGTTTCAACACCATTTTCAAGTAATGGCGTAAAATTGCAAGAGCAAACAAATGAATTATGAAGTGTGTTTTGCTTGGACACGGATTCAAACCACAATACATTCTGATGTATATAGGAACCTCAGCCACATTCACTTTACTCTGACTAAAAGCAAACCGGATCTACTGGACAAAGTAGAGAGATCTTCCTTAACTGTGGCGGAAAAAAAAAACAGTACCTTTTCTATATCACCAGTGTATTCTATCATCGGAACCAAATGAAAAACAAAGTCGTTCCTGACCATTCGAGACTTGCGGTGTTCAGAAATTTAGCAATAATATTTCATCTCTCTGAAAAAAAAAAAAACAAGTTTCTTCTGCAATCTGAACAAATGCATATCTCTGTCAGAAACAACAGAGATATCTTTATCTTTATGAGACTTAAATCCGATTTGCATAATAGTGTTTGACCGATGTTCTCGGTCAAACATCAAGAGTGATTGACCGAGAGTCTGCACACTTTGCCAGCCAGCAAACCAACTTCACAATAAAACGTTTGGAGGTGTAAGGTTGTCTGAACAAGAGCAAACCCCGGGCTGAAACCTTCCCCTGTGCTTTTGTTGGACCGCCTTTCTCCGCAGCAACTCGATTCAGATCCAGGCAAGACAGGAGTCAGAATGTATGGCAAAAATGAAAGATCTAACAGTTCAAACAGAAACACAGTTGGCAGATGTGAACAGACAATGGAAAGAGCCAGCAGAGTCCGAACGGACCAGAGAGAGGCGCGAGGCTGTTTAATCAGAGTGAGAACTGCTGAGTGTGTAGAAATTGAAATGAACGTTAGAATCACAAACCCACAGGGAACAGAAACTAAAGAACAGTAAACAGGTGGTACGCAACTCAGCTTGGCACGAGAAGGACACAACCGATGGCGTAAAAAGATGCAGAAGTGAGATAAAACGGGAAGAAAAGAGAAGGAAGGAGAACTCAATGAAACACAAATCTATGACTCTTTCTGTTTTACTGGGCTTCTGTTTTATTTAACCCTCTCAGGCTCAAATGACTTGAAAAGACTGGCTAAGTTGTTGCAAATCTGCAACACCTGCCTGGAGAGGGTTAACAGAAATATCTTTCCTGATTTCAGGCCAGAGACCGGAAGGTGGTTGGAGATCTGGAGGGGGCCAGACATTACGGCTCCACCGCTCGTGTCCTCAACATCGTGGCGACCGTCCTGGTGTCTCTGTCCATCTTACTTACGATCATTATTTTGATTGCCGTCACTTCTCGTCACTAGCTTTTCTGTTTTTGCTCTGCTATCAAACTGAAACCTTGACAGAAGAAGAAGTGGTGGTAGTAGTAAGGAAGAACTTTGTGGTGTAAAGTTTGCTTGTGCACAGTCTGCAAAGATGAATGGAAAGTTTGTTTCACTATATGAATAAAAAACACCATGCTCTTTAAAACACAGAGATGTCCTTTCATTTGTGTGTGCTGAGTCTCCACTTTAATTTTGAAATGTTGAAATATTGTCACAAATTGACGGTGGGGATAATGAAGTCGGAAATCATTGTGACCGGATGTGGAAGCTGACATTTCTATTTATGAACCGTTCCGAATTCAGTCTTGAGAAAATGAGCAGCACGTCAGACAAGGACGCTCAAAGGTCAGCTGTGTGGATGTGAGGATCACTGGACAATATATTGGAAACGTCGTGCAAGAGCCTCAGCGCCTGATCCGGTTCTTTAAAAAAACGCTTTCTGGGTCTGAGGTTCTATTGTATTCTGAGTCGCCACTTTCCAAAACAAATTTTGAATAATGTAGCTGTTTTGGGGTTTTTCTCTGAGACATGTCCAGGTTGAGCCCGCCTCTCGCCCAAAATGTTTGCTGGAGACGAGCACCAGCACCTCTCCTGACCCCCCAGTAAAGTGGCAACGCTTTTGTAATTTGTAATTGTGCTTTCAATTTGGTGAAATGGTTTGCACCTCAGGGCCACCACAGAATAAAGAGGCTTGAACACTTATGCAAGCCACAGTTTTTTTAGATTTTCATTTTTAATTTCATCAAATAAAGTGTCAAATAAGCACTGCTTTGTGTTTTACCTGACTTAAATCAGTTTGGTTTAATAAAGTCCATCCTCCTTCTGCTTTTTAATGACTTACTTTTAAAAAGGAATCATTGAAATATTCTGCAAATAGAAGGATTTTGGAGACAGAAAGTAAATTTAGCTCTAAAAATCTCTTTTACAAGCACAGGTGGGTTGCATAGATGTAAAAAGTTAGAACCTCTGAGCTCTGCAAAGAAAGTGAAAATAAAAAGACAGTGTTTTTTTTTTTTTTTTTTTTGTCCACTGGCAAAATTTCTTGTCACCAGCATTATAAAACAGGAAACCCACCCAGCACAGGGTGCAAAGCACTTCAGGAGACTCTTGAGGTCGTCTTCCCCCTGCAGCTGAGCAGAGAGCCATGAATCCTGGTTACTCCAACGAAGCGTCCCCTGGACAGCCTGGGGGCCCCACGGGATTTCAGCATGTCGTAGTGAACGTCCCCGCTGAGCCCCAAAAAGATTATCTGGTCTGGTCGCTGTGCACCTTCGTCTACGCAAACTTCTGCTGTCTCGGACTGGGGGCTCTCATTTACTCCGTCAGGGTGAGTTTGTGCTCATATTTGGTCTTTCGCTGGTGATTATCAAAGGAAAAGGAAGGAAAGACACAAATCATGAAGAAACATCGAGACTGGAATCTGATGGGCATTTTGGTAAAAGGCGTTTACAAACGAGGTTCATTCAAACTATAATGACTCATAATTATGAACCTATACAACTCTAGACTGAAAGATTGATAAATAAATCCTTTATTTCATAAAATTCAAAAATCAAGGGCAACACGGACTCAGAATTGTATTGCGATATTTTGATACTATTGTGATAATAGTATCATGATGATATTACTATCATTATCAATGGATAATAATGATAATATCAATGCTTTATATTGTAAAACTGAATGAGCCGTGACTGTATGTATATTAAATGTGAAGCAACTTTTAATAAAATAATATCCAAAAACTGGAAGAATTGCAGGACTGATTTTAATTCTTTTATTACTCTAAGAGTTTTTAGAAGATATAGAAGAGTTGGCACCGATGCGTACATGTAAGTTGAGGCTAACGCACATTAGTGTGGGGGTATGGATGTGTATATGTAAACCCAGATGAAATGAAAAATTGTCTTGTTTTTTTTTTTTTTATTTAACGACGAGACTCCGTCAGAGTTCATAGAGTCGGAGTTCATAAGTTTCCTGCTTCCTCCTACTGCTTTTCAAGCAAGTTAAAATTATTATACCACAAAAATATGTCTTTTGCGTTCCTTGTTCATGTGTGTGATTCTATACTTTAGTCATGTTCTAAATAAATAGGTTGAAGAAGTAATAATGAAAAAAGTTATGACCAGAAGGATCTGGTTATTGAAATAATGCATTTTTTTTTGTTTTTGTTTTGCTGATTTCAGGCCAGAGACCGTAAGGTGGTTGGAGATCAGAATGGAGCCAAACGTGACGCCTCCTGCGCTCGTGTTTTCAACATCGTGGCGACGGTCCTGACGTCTCTGACTCTCTTCATTGTCATCGTTGTGCAGATCGCCGCAGTTGTGAAATTGGCGCAATATACAAGCCAGAGAGGCCGTTGGGGTGGATATTAACCACCTTGTGCAATTATCCAACGCCATGCTCTGGTTTCACTCTGACATCAACATGAAACTGTTTTGCAGTGGCAGTGCAGCCTAAAGCGGTGAAGGAGCGTTTCATTTCTGTAAAGTTTGCTTAATCAGCCAAACAGCAGAATGTGTCCTTGCTCACATGAATAAAAAGCTTGTTTCACGACAATAAAAAGTGAGTGCTGAGTCTCCAATTCTAATTCCTACACATAAAATTGTTTTGTCACAAACTGAGAAAAAACTGAAATCTTTGTGAGGGCTGGAATTATTACATTTTATGTGGTGCGGAGTTGGAACATTGACGAGAAAATGTGCAGAAAAGATCATTTGTTCCCATTGTGACATCACACATCACACTCATCCAGGTTGCCATGTTGCCGCTCAGTCATCCTCATGTCTCCAGTTTTGTAGCTCATAGAGTCAAAAACCAGTGCAAAACTTTTTATTCAAGCTTCTTTAAAGATGTTTTAAATTGGTCGTATAGTCGTATAGTTTACTGAAACTATACGGCTGTCTTACTGTGGAATTAAAGCACTGCGTTATCTTTTGTCAATTTAGCCTGCTACCAAATGCAAAAGCTAAAAAGGAGGTTGAAAATGATGTGACACTTTCAACTTGCATTATGTTTAGTGTCATAATGCAAACATAATGGTCTCTAAGACAAAGTGCAAACTGGTTTTGCTTATAAAATTGATGCCTTTTACATCAGTGAGTTATTTTTGACGGAATGGTCGATTTCTCTTGTTACATTTTACAGCTAATAGCGATAGCCGATACCGATATCATGCCGATGATATTGTGCATCCCTGCTTCCTATTGTTTTAATTTGAACAAGTGTGTGTTAAGTTTAATCATTTAAAAATCAGTGTGAAGAAAACTCAACATATGATCGGCAAATCAAAGCTGAATCAAAGCCTGCCTAGTAAAGTAAGTAGTAATGTGTAGCTATTCTTCCATAACATATTTAATATTTGATGTAAGAGCAACAATGAAATTGCATTCAACACCAGACCAATCAGCAGTATATTTTAATTGTTTGACATATATTCTCCTTTAAAATGTGTTTGTTTGGAACATCTAAATGTACTCTAGTCTCATTAAAATTGTAAAAAAAAAAAAAAAAAGTACAACTATGAAGTGGACAAAAAATGACAAGATGTGAGACAGACTCGTACATCCAACTCGCGAGTATTGCCCTCCAGTGGCGCAAAAGTGCCACTGCATGCAAAGTGTAACCTGGAGGTTTTGGATGTCTCCAAATTAAAGTACAGACTAAAGTATTTTCTAGTCAATCAAAATTACAATCAAATAAAATATTGGGAGGTGTCCACATTTGGCAAATAGCCCTAAAAGTTAAACTACAATTTATTTCTAAAAATGAGTGAAGCCCTACTGTACCTTAGTGTATTTATGTGCAAATCTCAACAAGAAACTAGAAGAAGAAACATCTATATTTCAATATGTAGCCAGTTTGACAGTAATTTGTTACTTTTACAGTTAACAGAAACACAGCTGTACTAAAGCTGGGTGGCCTCTATTTATTGTGTATACAATAAATCTATTTATTGTGTATACAATAAATCTATTTATTGTGTATACAATAAATGTATTTATTGTGTATACAATAAATCTATTTATTGTGTATACAATAAATCTATTTATTGTGTATACAATAAATAGAGTTTTTTAAAACAGCAATTGGACCAAACAGGCCTGAAAATAATGGAAACCACACTTTTAGATGTTTATTCATAAGAGTTTTATTATTATTTTTATTTTACTTTTTTTTAAACTTCCATGGTTTTTTATTACAAGTTGCAGTTATGCACATATTGATCCTGAAATTGTTTTTTCTCGGTTTTGCTATCAGAAGTAATTATGTTTTTTTTTTTTTTTTACAGAATTGTGTTTTTTTTATGTATTTTAATTTTTTTTATTATTATTATTACTTTTTGAAGTATTCTGCAAATTCAAATGTAACGTTTTGCGTGGGAGCTAAAAACTCAGAAACTCTAACCTGCTAGAAATGAAAGCGCTGCAGGGTTTAAAAATGGGCCCTTGTTGCTAGGTGATGATGGTGATGATTAGGTCACCGTCAAACCACAAGCATCAAATAAAAGCCTCTCCTGATAGCGTGCTCGTTTGTCAACAGACGCTTCAGATCGTCTTCCACCACCAGCTGGGCTGAGGGCCATGGATCCTTGCTACACCACTGTGTCTTACACTACTTACCAAGTTGAGACCGTCGGACTGAAGGGCAAGAGATATGAAGCGTCCCCTGGAAAACCTTGGGGTCCCTCAGGATTTCACCACGCTGTTGTAAATGTTCCCACTGAGCCTCCAAAAGATTATCTGGTCTGGTCGCTGTGCAGCTTCATCTTTGGAAATATTTTCTGTCTTGGATTGGCGGCTCTCGTTTATTCTGTCAAGGTGAGTTTCATAATTTCTCAGTAATTTGTCTTGAATGTGAAGATTTTTGGAGAAATTTAGAGACTAATTAGAATATTCTGGACAATTAAGGAATAAAAGCAAATAGCTGTACGTCACAGTGTGACGTCACAAAAATCAAACATGAAGAAATTTCTTTTTGTTTTCAACACAGTTTATTAGTTTTGTGTTTCCAGAAACAGGGAAAGGAACAGAAAATGGTGCCTGGTGCTGTTATGTCACATTATATATGTAGAGAATAAGAAAGAAAAAATAAACACAATATGAAGGAAGCTCAATACTATGGACGGCCTTTCTACAGAAACTCTGAGTCCTGATTAAGACCAAAAGGCTAAAAATGGCAGAAAAACCACTGCGGCAATTTTTTTTTAGAAAATAGAAAGTATTCTAAAAAAAAAACTTTGGAAAATTTTGTGAAGATTTCTAAACGTTTTAAAACTAAAGTTTAGTTCTGTGGGCCTGGCGGCCCTCATTGACTCCATAAGGGTTTGTTTCAGACTCTGAAGTTTGAATGAACAAGGCAAATGGAAACTGAAAAACAAAATACTATAGAGCAGCTGACATGCAGTCAGCTCTACAAACATCCAGATTCCTGAGTTTGCACAAGTTTCCATTTTTCTTTTATTTCTTGTGATTGCAGCATTTGCAGTGTTTTCCTGTTGCACTTCTTTCATTCCTGTGTGTTTTGGAGTTTGCATCATTCATGTGTTTGCAGCAGGTTTATATATATATGTATATATATATATTTGTCTTATCGGCGTACTTTTGTGTACAAATTGCATAAACTACTACCGTCAGTATGAGAAGAAAAACTTTTCTTAACTACGACAAGATTTTATCAAATAACTAAGTAAAAAATAAAAATAGTAGTTTCTGACCATCGTCTTTGATCCTATTGTGCTAACAACACTCTGTAACCTCCTTCACGTCTGAGACCTGTGAAGTTCAGAGTTTTATCAATTTTATTTCATCCTGGTTTGTGTTTGAGTGAAAATGTTTTCTTGACTTCCTGGCTTGGAGTCGTCCGCCCGTTCTGTGCACAAAACAACAACCACATAAACCACCTGGTTTTCCTGTGCGCTCAAGTTTCTCATAGCAAAACCTTCTGATAAGGACTTGTGATGAGACTGTGTATTTTGGCTGTGCATGAAAACTTCCTCTACATCCAGGGGCCTTTTTTTTATCACTTTGTTGAACCACCTTTTTCTACAGGAACTCAACTCAAATCCAAAATCTAGAGAAAATGTGAGGTGTGAACAGACAATGGAAAGAGCCAGCAGAGACTGAATGAACCAGAGAGGGAGACCATTTAACCAGAATTTAATGGTCTCCCAAGTCAAAAACTGTCAGAAAATCAAGTCAAAAAATGGCTGAAAACCCTTTAAACTTTCTTTTTTTCACAGTGATAGAGTGAGTGTTTTTGTAAAAATATAACTCAATGTGCGCATTGGTAATTCAGAGGTAAAAGCCCCAAAGTTACACCAGGCAATAATGGAGAGCCCTTTCTCCACCAGGTGAACCAGTTATTAGTAATATTTGTTTTCTGCTTTCAGGCCAGAGACAGGAAGATGGTTGGAGATGAGGACGGAGCCAGACATCACGCCTCCACCGCTCGCGCTCTCAACATCGCGGCGACTGTCCTGACATTTTTAGCCATCTTTCTCTCCATAGTTGTGCCCATTGCTATAATTGCAGAGGAGACAAGATATTACAGATATCGCTATCATGGATATTAATAAGTAACTTTTGTGAAGTATGACAGGTTTTCAAACACCATGACCTGTTTATATTTTGTTCCTCAAGTAAAACTGTAACAGCAGAACTAGTAATGAGATCTGAGGCGACAAAGAACTTCATTTGAAATAAGTTCATTTGCTTAAAATCTGCAAAGTGTGTTTTAGCTCACATGAATAAAAAGCTTGCATTGTAACGATAATACAAACAATCCTGTGCTCTGAAAAACAGAAATACAATTTCTTTTGTATGTAGAGTCTCGTGTCATTTATTAAACCAAAAACATATTTGGTTATGAATTGACAAAGCGATGACAATAAAAGCAAAAATATAAATTTAACATTAAAATCAGGACAAAGGAATTATAACATTTAGATTATGTGATCCGTCGTGGTGAAGAGAGAGCTGAGTCTAAAAGCGAAGCTCTCGATTTACCTGTCGATATACTTTCCTACCCTCATCTATGGTCATGAGCTTTGGTGACACAGAGTTCGTAACCGAAAGAACGAGGTCACAGACACAAGCAGCCAAAGTGAGTTTTCTCCATGGGGTGTCTGGGCTCTCCCTTATAGGGTGAGAAGCTCAATCATCCAGGAGGGACTCAGACTAGAGCCACTGCTCCTCCACATCGAGAGGAGCCAGTTGGGGTGGCTCGGGCATCTGGTCAGGATGCCTCCTGGACGCCTCCCGGGTGAGGATTCCTGGCACGTCCCCACGATAAAACCTACGACTCGCTGGAGGAACTATATTTCACTGCTGGCCTGGGAACACCTTGTGATTCCCTTGAAGGAGCTGGAACAAGTGGCGGGGCGGGGGAGTCTGGACCTCCATATTTAGGGTGCTCTCCCCATGACCCGACCTCAGACAAGCGGAAGAAGATGGATGGATGAATGGATGGGCTTATTAGCATGCACCAATAAAAATGATTAGCTAACATATTGACATCTCTGAACATAAAGATGTCACACAAAATAACTTTATATGTAAATAATACCCATAGCTATTACAAATTACAACACGTACCAATCAGGGTTGCCATGTTGGCTCCTCAGTCAGCTCTATCCTCCCAATTCTGTGCTTTTAGAGCCGCGCATGTATCCACAAAACAGCAGCGAACGCTTATTTACTTCCAGTCGTTTCTAAATAAACAGCAGTTCGTCTCATTGCTTACATTTTACCAAAAAGATGCTACGATGCCCCCTGGTGGCGACTTCAGTACCTTCTGTTTTTCTGTCAGTCTTCGAGAACCCTTGGTGGTTTAATACCTGACCAGTAACTTCAGCAGGTAAATGAAATATTATAGAGATGCTTCACACATGCAAACTTTGAATTCTTGTGTGATGACACCCTCACAGTCGTAAAAAACCCCAAAAAGACAAATTTTCAAAATGGGACATTGATTTAAATTTATTTGAAAGGCCATGTTTGAGAGCTACCCTCTGTCTAATCACACAGAGAAGTGTTGATTTTTAATCTTTGCCTTCAAGCCATTGTTTCTTGCTCTCTGTCCCATTTCATCTTACAGGATTGGGGGAATTGCTTTTGTTTACGCCTCTACATCTACATGGAATGTGTTGCAAAAAGCCTGGAAATGAACAGAACCTATTACATTGAGTGCTTTTAAGTCCAGATAGAGAACACTAGAAACAACCGCCTTATTTTGTGACTATTTTTAGGAATAGTCACAATAGCCACAAAATGAGGTAATTGCGTAACTGTTAGTAATTGTTTCATATCTTCTGCTGCCTCTTGGCCGGGACTCAGTAGGAGTTTCCTGGTTAAATACAGATAACGGCTTAATTTTAGCCAGCTATGTTTACTGTGAGATGATGTTTTCCTCACTTTTCTGTTGGCATGCTGATGTCACTCCTGTTTGCTTCTGCCTGCACAGGTGGACTGTGTGGTTATGGAAAATTTAATAAAATGTAAATGATTAAAAAAACAGACAACGTCACTGAGGTGCTTCATAATGTTAGCCATGCATCCCATCTTCCTCTTAAAAGACAATAGAAGATTCTTCAGCTAATGTTCAGTGAAAAAAAGGGGAAGAAAGAGACATGTGATCGATGACATTGTTGTCTTTTTTCTGTTTTGAGCTGCTTTCCTGTTCAAAACAACGTCAGTTCTCCTCCAGACCCATTTCTCCTCCAAAACCTGCACATCTACTGAAGCTACAGGAATGGCTGCAGGGGGCCAAGCTTTGGTTCTTCCGCTGCTGCAGTACGAGAACCCTGAAGCTCATGAACACACCGAGCCTCATCAGACCGCCGTCAACATCCCAGCTGAGCTGCCCAACGACCACATCATCTGGTCTCTCATTTCCTTTGTGCACGGAAATCCATTCTGCCTGGGCCTAGCGGCCCTCATCTACTCCATAAAGGTCGGTTTTTTGATCATCAGTTCCAGAGGCAGTTTGGGGTTTGTGGAGTAACGATAACGCAATTTGCAGAAGCATTGTGACCAAGTAGTGCTCTAGTAATTTATAACTGACAGTTTTTACTAATTATTACTATAGAGGTAATAAAAAAATAAAAAAACTAGAAATGTCCTTAAAAGATTAAAAATAAAAAAAAAACAGGAAAGGCATACAAATGTGATAACTGAGTAATTCTGGGGAAATTACTCAGTTGACAAAGTCATTTGGTAAATAAATGTTTCAGACGGTTGCTCTGTTACTCTGAAGTTTTAAAATAGGCTTACAGAATGGTAAAAGTGCAGCAGCCTCGTTCAAACACACGAATGAGGCAAATGCAAACTGCCTCAAAACAACCTCAAAATACCAACCACAAAATACAAATACTACAGAGCAGCTGACATGCAGTCAGCTCTAGTTTCCATTTTCCTTTTATTTCTTAGGATTGCAGCATTTTTTCCTGTTGCACTTCTTTCATTCCTGTGTGTGTTTTGGAGTTTGCATCATTCATGTGTTTGCAGCAGGTTTGCACCTGTCAGATGCTGTTAAAAAAAAAAAGAACTAAAGTAAAGAGTTGTGTTCAGTTTTATTCTGATTCAAACCACAAACCTTTCAGTTTAAATCAGACCTGACTGTTAGCCACGTTCACCGTAGTCAACAGAGCAGGATGGAAACGGTGAGAGGAAATGTTCTCTCACTGAGAGGAAGTAGATGGCTCTTCCTTTAGACAAATCCTTTATATATACTTTAAATATAAAGTATATTTGCCTTATCAAGAAGAATTTCTGTCAAAGTTTGAGAAGAGAAAAAAATAAACAAATAAAAAGCAGGAGCCAGGAGAAGTTTCAATGAAGCATTTACTTTTTGAGTAGTTTCTAGTTAAAAAAAAAAACCCCAACAAAACAAAAAAAACAACTGAGCTTTGGTTGTTGATTAAGTAATTACCACATCCTCAGATTTATTAAGTTAACTTAAGATATTAAATTAACTTAAGATCCTCAGATTTATTAAATTCACTTAAAATTTGCAAAGTACTTGCAAATTCCATTTGCTACATTTAAAGGGATGCATAATTTGCACAAAGTTCAGTTTTGCTTCATCTGCTTGACAAAATTAAATTCATTCACTTGGATTTTCTTTTTGATGTAGCAAGGTCTGGGATCATGAGCGCCCCCTCCCGTGAGAAACGGAAACTGCAAACTGAAACCGTGCTAACAACACTCTGTAACCTCCTTCACGTCTGAGACCTGTGATGTTCAGAGTTTTATCAATTTTATTTCATCCTGGTTGGTGTTTGAGTGAAAACATTTGCTTGACTTCCCGGCTTGGAGTCGTCCGCCTGTTCTGTGCACACAACAACAACCACATAAACCACCTCGTTTTCCTGTGTGCTCACACGTTTCTCATAACGAAACGTTCAGATAAGGACTTGTGGTGATACTGCGTAGTTTGGCTGTGCATAAAATTTTCCTCTGCACCCAGGGTTTTTTTTTTTAATTACTTTGTTGAACCACCTTTTTCTACAGGAACTCGACTCAAATCCAAAATCTAGAGAAATTGAGAGGTGTGAACAGACAATGGAAAGAGCCAGCAGAGACTGAATGAACCAGAGAGGGAGACCATTTAGTGAGAGCAGCTGCGAAGGAAGAAAACAGAATGAATGTTAGAATCACAAACTCAAAGAGGACAGGAACTAAACAACAGTAAACAGGACACGACCAATGCAACACAAAGTCAGACGCAGGAGTAAAGAGAAGGAAGAACTCAATAAAACACAAAACTACAACACAAAGTGCATTAGCATTTTCCTACACATTGAACTTGGGTCAATAAAAATCTGGACTGGATTAGTTATGAAGATGATGAAAACTAACTTTAAATGATCCCAGATTTCAGTGGGATCCCTTTCTACTAAACCCAGTTCAAAAACCTCCGGTTCAGATTGGACCGAAAAGTATTTAAAATAACTATTTTGTACTTTGAAAGAGTGTGTGTTCAGGTTGTAGCAACTCAAAAAAGAAGCTGATACGACAAACAAAAACAAAAACACCACACTGACTCATTAATCAATGTAAAAAAGCTCATTTGTAATAAAGTGTAGCAATGTAAACACAGTTTGTTAGATATCACATTCTGGACGCTCATGTCTGACAGAAAAAAACAAAAGTGGCTTCTTCTGTCCACGATGTCGAGTTGTGCTTTCAGTCAGACAGAAATCAGTCATGGCAGCGACAAAAAGCCATGGTGACAAGAAGGGAAGTACCACTGTTTCTAGTTTGAGTCTAGTTTTAATATGATTTTTTTTTTTTTTTGCTGCTTTCAGGTCAGAGACAGGAAGCTGGATGGAGATCTGGACGGAGCCAGACGTCACGCCTCCACTGCTCGCGTTCTCAACATCATGGCGACCGTCCTGGCGTGTTTAGTAGTTGTTGTTTATGTTGTTGTAATTTTTACTGGAATTGCATGAGCAAAAAATTGTTCAAGCTTGATCCTATTGCAGTTACAATTGTTGGCAATAACCAACTTTCGGATTGTCCAACGCTACGTAATTGTTTTTGCTCTGTTGCCAAAAAACAAAGCTGTGCCTTCATCGCCAATAGTAAAATCGAAGAACTTAATTTGTGTAAAGTTTGCTTTTATGAAATCTGTGAAATGTGTTTTAGCGCAGATGAACTGATAGCTTTTTTCATAGTAATAATAAACATTATGCTCTTTAAAACCCATAAATGTTCTTTCTGTCATGAATTAGGTTGATTGAGGTGGTGAGAATGGACATAGGAGACCCAGGCTGATGTGCAATAATGACGGTTTTATTGACAAACATGAAGAGAACAGAAATCCAGGCAGTACAGGTGAACAATGAGGCGAGGAACTCAGACACTCTGGTGGCCTTGGGAAGACACAGGACTAACAAAGACTATGAAGGCAATGACAAGGACGTGACGGGGAGCAGGTAGCATACACAAGGGGATAATCAGGGAAACAAGAGGCAGCTGGATACGATCAAGAGGAAGACGAGATGACAAGAGAACGAGCTTAACAGAAAAACACAAACAAAAGTCCTTATCCTCACTCTTTCATTGTATGCAGAGAAACTATTTATTTTCCGAAAGTAAAGCAGTAACAACTGCAGTTATCCAAAACTACATCTTAGGACATGGTTGTTTGTGCACTAATGCAGTACTTCCTCCCCCCTGTGGTGCTCCACCCGAGTGAGGTTGCACCCCCCCACCCTCCCACAACAAAAATCTAACAACATTCATGTCAAATGTTTGCGCTGCAAAGCGACCAGAGATGAAAGTACATACCGCATACCGCCCCCTTTTTCAGTGGTAAAATTTCCAGTTAAGACTCAACCGTCATAAAAAACAAACCCTATTCTGGACAGCGAACCAGTTCTGTAACAGGTCATTCAGATCCTCCTCCACCTGCAGCTGACCTGAGAGCAATGAATCCTGGGTACGCGTCTGCACCTTACCCTGCTGAGACCGTCGCCCTGCAGGACAGGAAACATGAAATGTCCCCTAGACAGCCTGGGGGTCCCACAGGAGTTCAACACACTCTTGTGTACGTCCCCACTGAGCCTCCAAGAGATTATCTGGTCTGGTCTCTGTGGAACTTGGTCTACGGAAATATTTTCTGTCTTGGATTGGTGGCTCTCGTTTATTCTGTCAAGGTGAGTTTATGCTAATAATTTCCCAGTAATTTATCTTGAACGTGAACATTTTCTGTTTGTCTTTGAAAAAGGACAGAAATCATAAAGAGTGTTGAAACTGGCTTCTGATTCCCCTTTTGGTAAATGGGTTTTATGCAGTTTGGACAAATTTAGAGACTAATTAGAATAATCTAAATAATTAAGGATTAAAAACAAACAGATTTATATCACAGTGATAGGTTAGTTTCACAGAACTCAAAAACAGACTATTTCAATCATATGAATGACCTTTCCAGTCAAACTTCCCAAAACTAGGTCTTAATCTAGACTCAAAGTTTAGGTTTGAGTCTAACTTGACGGAGGTGACTGAGGATTGAGCGCCTTTCTGCTCCAGGTGAACCAGTCATTAGTAATATTTGTTTTTTCTGCTTTCAGGCCAGAGACAGGAAGATGGTTGGAGATGAGGACGGAGCCAGACATCACGCCTCCACCGCTCGCGCTCTCAACATCGCGGCGACTGTCCTGACATTTTTAGCCATCTTTCTCTCCATAGTTGTGCCCATTGCTATAATTGCAGAGGGGGCAAGATATTACAGATATCGCTATCGCGGATATTAATAAGTAACTTTTGTGAAGTATGACGGGTTTTTAAACACCATGACCTGTTTTTATTTTGTGCCTCAAATAAAACTGTAACAGCAGAACTAGTAATGAGATCTGAGGCGACAAAGAAGAACTTCATTTGAAATAAGTTCATTTGCTTAAAATCTGCAAAGTGTGTTTTAGATCACATGAATGAAAAGCTTGCATTGTAACGATAACAGTCCTGTGCTCTGAAAAACACAAAAATACAAATTCTTTTGTGTGTAGAGTCTCTCGTGTCATTTATTAAACCAAAAACATATTTGGTCATGAATTGACAAAGTGATGACAATAAAAGCAAAAATATAAATGTGAAATTAAAATCAGGACAAAATAATTATAACATTTAGATTATGTGATGCAGAACTGAGCAAACAATGGTGAGAAAAACGAGCTGCTACAATCAGACAAGGTCACACAAATAAAGGTCACTTGTTCCCATAGTGAAGTATAAATGTTGACTTTAGTTCAGCATAGTCATGGCAACAGTCTCTTTCACCTGAGCCAGAGGTTTGCAGCTCCTCTGAAGTGTTGATTGACGTCTCCTTCCCCGTCCTTTGAGTTCAGAAGGATGTGAAGTTTTACTACATTCTTCCATTTTGTTGGTCTTTCTGAAATATTTTCTTGTCTGAAACTAACTTTGCGCTCTGATTTTTGTTTTCATGAGTCCATCTTCACTCCTATGTTTAATCAATGACTTTTGAAAATTATTATGTGTTGTTACGACTCTTACATTAGTAGTTTTACATCACTAGGTTGTTTTTCATTTAAAGGCTTTAGCTTCCGTCTGTGCGTGTGTGAACTGGTGCTATGTTGAAACGCGTGTCTGTGTAGCATGTTTATCTCTAACGGCAGAATGTTCCCTTGCCCTCGTGAGAAAGAAAACTGTTTGCAAGGACAAAACCTGCTTTTCTGTTTGTATTACTCCCCTTCCCTCCTTTCCCTGCTAATAAAAGACAAGTTTGAACTGAAGGTTTTCAAAGGGCACAGTGAGCTGCATGGAGAAGCAGTTTACAGTGTCTTCTGCTTTTGCAAAAGCTTGGTTGCAAACTAAGAAACTGTCGTCATTTTTAAGATGATTGACAAAATACCTACCAAACTTAAATCTTTATGCAAAATGAGGTTTGCAAAGATTCACCCTCAATTCACCCTGAACGTTCATAAGCAAGCAAAAGTAAACTATTAAGAAGACAAAGGTAAGAAGATGCATTGTGGAGATGAAAGTCTTGTGGTTTTTGCACACCGACTGTTTTCAGTGCTGAAATTTCCACTGCTAAGCCACAACCATCATAAAAATCAGAACTGACTGAAGATTTATTGGTGGCTCTTGTTTATCCTGTCAAGGTGAGTTTATGCTAATAATTTCCCAGTAATTTATCTTCAACATGGACATTTTCTGTTTGTCTTTGAAAAAGGACAGAAATTATGAAGAGTGTTGAAAATGGCTTCTGATTCCCCTTTTGGTAAATGGGTTTTATGCAGTTTGGACAAATTTAGAGACTAATTAGAATAATCTGTATAATTAAGGATTAAAAACAAATAGCTGTAAGTCGCAGTGTGGCTTTACAAAAATCAAACATGAAGGAATTTCTTTTTGTGTTAAACACAGTTTATTAGTTTCGTGTTTCCAGAAACAGAGAAAGGAACAGAAAATGGTGCCTGGTGCTGTTATATCACATTATATATGTAGAGAATAAGAAAGACGAAACAAACTCAATATCAAAGTTGTCAGACTCACGCACCGACATTAACCGAGTTCAGAAGGGTGTGAAGTTTTACTACATTCTTCCATTTTGTTGGTCTTTCTGGAATATTTCCTTGTCTGAAACTAACTTTGCGCTCTGATTTTTGTTTTCATGAGTCCATCTTCACTCCTATGTTTAATCAATGACCTTTTTAAAGAATTGTTTTGGCTCTGGTGGCCTTTATTTCCCAATAAATAAAGGCCACTTTATTTTCAGAGGCCTCTAGGACCCCTGAGGCCTCTGCACATCCTGTGCTTTACCTCCTGTACCAGCACCACGCCCCGAGTCAATTGCTTCGTTTTTTTTTTTTTTTTTGTTAATTTCCGCACGTAATCCAGTGGTCCAATCACGTCCCACATACTCTCCATGCACATTTTCATGCTGTAGTCTTTACAGCTATTTGTTACAGTGTAGTGGAAAATATGATCTCCACAGAGCATTAAAATATGTTGATTTCCTACAACAGAATTTAATCAAAAACGTGGAGTCAGAGGTTTTATCAAAATCCAAGCCAGCTTTACATCAAAAGCAATGAATAAAGTAATGAGTCATTTAGATGGATAGAAGGTGGCATAGATCACATGGCAACTATTAAAAAGCTCATCAACAGATGCTAATGGCTAAAACAAGTTGCAGAAGTTCATGTTGGTGGAGAGACTATAGATCAGAAAACGTAATAATGATGTCAGAACAGCGTACGATCATCAGGCATTAACTGAGATCAATCATTACAAGTTTGGTGTTGCTTGACAATTGTGAGAGAAAGTTATAGTGTTTTGTTTGGTCGTGCACCCTAAACATGCTCAAAATCCCACAATTTTGATAACTTTTTCACCCCCATCCCGTAAATGCATATTGACCAAAAATGAAAATCAAAAGGAGGAGTTCATTAAAATTTGAGGTGTATAGATGTGAAAATTACCTAAATTTGCCCTTTGAACCAAAATGGCCGCCTACCTGTACATTTAAGGGGGAACCTCCAAGACACTTTTTTTCTTGATATTAGGGAAGGGATCTACCTATGCACAGAATTTCAGATTTTTCCTATCTCACATTAGGGGGCGCTGCAGAGCAGTTGGCCATGCCCACTTGAGATTCCATTGGAATCCAAAATTGTACATTATTTCAGGTGAAGTTTGGTGATAAAGCCTCCAAAAGGCCGCACGCAAATGGCAGAAAATTAATTAGAAATTTTGCGATTACAACAGGCCTTTGCTACTCAGGCTTAATGAAAGTTATGTTAAGCCATATTGCAAAACGAGTTTATGCCAAATGTTACCTTGAAGTCATTATTTTTGGACCTAAAGAGGAACGATCTAGAGTCAATGCACAGCTTCAGTTATTACAACTAAAAACTAGCGATCAGGCCCGAAACCTGGGAGTAGTGATGGACTCGGACTTGAACCTTGCGAGCCACATAAAGACAATTACAAAGTCGGCCTTCTATCACCTGAAGAACATCTCCAGGATTAGAGGACTAATGTCTCAGCCAGATCTAGAGAAACTCATTCATGCGTTTATCTTTAGTCGCATTGATTATTGTAACAGCGTCTTCACAGGCCTGTCCAACAAATCAATCAAACAGCTGCAGCTGATCCAGAATGCTGCTGCTCGCGTTCTCACTAAAACCAGGAAGATAGAGCACATAACACCAGTTTTAAAGTCCCTCCACTGGCTCCCTGTAGCTCAAAGAATAGATTTTAAAATACTGTTGTTAGTTTATAAATCACTGAACAGTTTAGCACCACAATACATCAAAGATCTGCTGTTGTTGTATCAACCTTCCAGACCTCTCAGGTCTTCTGGTTCTGGTCTGCTCTGCATCCCCAGAACCAGAACCAAGAGAGGAGAAGCAGCTTTCAGCATCTATGCACCAAAACTTTGGAACAAACTTCCAGACAACTGTAAAACAGCGGAAACCCTGACTTCTTTTAAATCGCAATTAAAAACACACCTGTTTAGAATTGTTTTTGAAATGTAATATGTAACAATGTATTGTCTATTATATGTTGCATGGCTTTGTGTTCTTGTGTTTATGATGTAAAGCACTTTGAAATGCCTTGCTGAAATGTGCTATACAAATAAAATTTGATTGATTGATTAAGAATCAAGAAATAAAATGAATGTGTCATCAGCATAGTTAATGACTATATAATATCTAGATGACTCAGCAAGCTGCCTGATGGATGATCTTTCTACAGCTGACAGATGATGTCAGCGTCCAGAGAACAGTCTGCTGTCACTCTCCAGGCGCCGTCCTCCGCTGCCATGCTGCAGCCGCTGTCCCCAATGCCTCCATCCGGCTGTCCTTCTCCCCATTTGGTGAAGGTCAGAGGTTGATTTTTCATGTCGGACTGGAAGTTCCCTTCTGCTTTTCTCACGTTGACGTTGATCCAGGCTCTTTTCTCATCTTGACCCATCAGCTGACGCAGCATGTGGTTCTCCTCCTCACTCTGGGGCAGAGCCAGCTCCAGGCCTTGTTGCTGGCAGAAATCTGCAGCCTTCTGGAAAGATCCTCTCTCCTTGTTGGACACAAAGTATTTCTGACCCACCTTCCTCACAAAGTCAAAGGTTATAGCTGGAAAAACATGCAGAAAATTTGGAAGAGATTATTTCTTTATTTATTTTGGACAATGTAAAATAATCCTGTGGCTGTCCTCTGACTCACTGCTTTTCATCCTCTATTAACTTTGCTGCTTAGATATTTAGATGTTCATAATACATGGATGGAAAAATGTGTAAAACCCAAAATCAGACGTGGAGGAAAACATTAGATACTCACTAACTCTAATAAATCTTTTGCTGCTCTAATTCTTGGCTGATCGAAATAGAATAGAAAACCCACCAAGGTCCAGCTTAGCGGTGATCTTCGTCAGTAAATCAGCATCCCGTGTGAAAGAATCAAAGAGCTCTGGATACAAAAGAACAAGTTTGGTCACCAAAGTTCATTTGGCTTCAGCTCAAAAATATTTTTCGCTAGTTTTATCTTCTCCACAGTTATATTAACAGTGAAAAATGTTGTCTGGTGACATTGTAATGAGGAGTGGCGTGTCGCCCGCATGAAAATATTAAATTAGAAGGACCCCAAGATGGTCCTTCTAAGTCACCAATTTAAAATCTTGTATTTTAAATTGGTGACTTGGTCTGTTTTACTGTTCAACTATTGTGTCGAAGATTCAGTGAACGTAATGTCATGTCATCACCTCGTCCACACACAGCAATGGGTCCAGGTCGTCCAGCTGGTCCAGCTGGTCCAATTGGTCCAATTGGTCCAGGTTGTCCACGCACTCCTGAATCCAAAAAGAAGATGAAGAAATCTTCATAGAAAATGTCTACAGTATTTTTCATTGCTCTTCTCATTCTACAGATTTTTTTTTCTATTGTTAGCTCTTCAAAAAAACTTTTTCTTTGTTTTGTGAGTTGATACCCATTGGACCAGGTGGTCCTGGTATTCCAGGTACTCCAGGAAATCCAGGACGTCCAGATAGTCCAGGAAATCCAGGAGGTCCAGATGGTCCAGATGGTCCAGGTACTCCAGGAAGTCCTCTGTCACCTTTCTCACCAGGGGGACCCGGCAGCTGACTGAGGCTCATGGGAAGCATCAGACAGAAAACACAGAAGAGAAAACAAAGCCTCATCTTCTCAGTCAAGTGTTGGATACTGTAAAAAATGAGTGAAATTTGATACTTAGTTTGAACGATAATTTTCTCAACAGAAAAGACGCTGTCTTTTATCAGTCCACACACATTTACACATTTAATTCTGTTAAAGTTGAAGTTTACAGTCAGTCACATTGTGTCACATCACCATTGAACATCATAAATGTTGAAAAGTATTGTAGAAGTCATCAGTAAATGAGATTGTGAATGTGCTTTTTTTCTTAATTGAAAATTATTAACAAGGTACAAGTGTTGTTCTAGGTTTAAACATGCAAGGGTAATTTAAAAAAGAAACTGCGCAATAATGAAAAAAATGAATCAAAAAACTCACCGTCAGAATGTGATCGTCCACAACGTGCTGCTGCTTTGCCGTTCAAAAAGCCTTCTGATGTGAATGAAGATTTAGAAACATGAGATCCGGCCCAGAGGAAATGGTAGCTAGTCTGGAATGATAAACAACATACAAGACAAGCAGAGAGTTCCTGTTGTCCTGACAAAATGTCATTTTACTGTAAAGCTGCAGCACATGCTGGATGATCACACTTTCACATTGAGTTCTTGTTAGTTTTCTATCTTTCTACAGTTTTTGGTCGACATCATTCGTGCAGGACTTCCTGGACCACCTCGAATCTCAGGCCACAGCTCATCAAGTAGACACATTTTAGTCAGAGAAAAAAAAACATGATTTGGAGAAGGATGAGAGAAATAAATAATAATAAAAAGACCTGCAATCAACCTGCCCAATAAAGATTTCTTCATGTTGTTTGTACTGAGTTCTCTGAACCACCTGGACCCGTCACCTTGTGCGGACGAGGTGACGGATATTTCCTGAAACTAATAAAATACTGATCTGTACCAATTTACCCAGCCTGTTTGTTTGCTTCAAGGAGGAAACAGAGGAAAGCGACATGAATAAAACCATGGAGGGTGAATATGCAGAGAGCCAAGGCCACGATGAAGAAAGTTTTCTGTTATTATGTGACAGCAGCGCTAATCACAACCTCTATGATTGTCAGGTCTGGTGTGTATCCAGGTAAATTGAAGAAAAAGCAAGTGAAAATAAGGGGAAAATATCCATTTAATCGCCATACATTTCACCATAAAGCAGAAATACATAATGTAAATGCATTGATTAAGGTCATCAGCATATGTGATTATATCTAGAAAAGAAAGGGAAGTTTACTTGTATAGCTGAGCTACAGGGAGCCAGAACTTTAGGACTGGAGGGATGTGCTCTGTCTTTGTAGTTTTAGTGAAGACACAAACAGCAGTGTTCTGGATCAGCTGGAAGATCTCTGAAGACACTGCTGCAGTAATCGACTAAAGGTAAATACATGGATGAGTTGCTCTAGATGTGGCTGGGACTTTAGTCTCTTTATCCTAAAAATGTTCTTCACATCATAGAAACCCGACTTTGTAATTGTGTTTATGTGTCTCTGAAGGTTCAGGTCTGAGTCCATCATTACACACCAGATTTCTGGCCTTCTTGCCTTGAAGTGCCATTGTAGAATGAGGCAGATGCAGTGCAACCAGGTAGCAGAGAAATTTATGGTTTAATCATGAAACCATAATTTTTGGTGCACTAAATCCAGGAAGCACATGTGTGAAGAAGGTAAGGAACTCAGAACTGGTAGCAACTGGAAAATATTGCTAGAGACAATGACGACTGGATAGACGAAGACCCGACAAGGAACAAGAGACACAGGTGGGATTCAATACACAGAGGGTAATCAGGGGAACGAGGCACAGTTGGGACAGAAGCCAAAATAAACACACAGAAAACTCAAATCCTCATAGGAAGCTTGAAAATACTCAAGGTCATAGTGAACAGAAGAAGTAGGTCATCTTTTGGTCAAAAACACTGTGATTACTTCAGTTTTGGGTTCATAGACACCTGGTGACATTGTAATGAGGAGTGGCGTGTCACCCGCATGAAGATATTAAATTAGAAGGACCCCAAGATGAAACCTTGGGGTACCCCACGTATGACTTCTGTCTTCTGTTACCTATTGGCAAGAAGAATCCCAGTTCTTTGGATGAGGCTTAAACCAGTCAAGCCCTGTGCTAGAGAGTCCGACACAGATCTCCAGTCAGTTGAATGGCAAGTCATGGTCAACAGTGTCGTGTTGATGTGGTGTTTTGTCTGATCACACAAATCAATAATCAAAAAACATTTGTCGTCCTTATTTTTTGACACGTAATTCATAATACCCAAATTAGATAGTTTCCAGCATAATGGAAATAAAACTCTTGATCTGCATGACCAAAATATTTTATGAGACAGAGCAACCATTTGTCTGAAGAAGAAATAGTAGTGGAGCATTCGAAGTGAACACTTTTAGGCTGTCATTGTCTTTTCAATGAGGTCAGCTGTGGCTCAACAAAATGATCTACCAATTTGTGACTGAGGTTACAAATGTGAGGTTATGACGGTAAAAAGCCGACTGTGGATCCAGAGTAAATGTACTTTGAGTGGTCAGAATGAGAAGAAAGGGTTTAGGGTGAGTCTTATGACTATCAGGATCCTGAGTTGTGAGGTTGTTTTGAAGTTTGATTTCATTCCAATTTAATTATTTTGTGTCATTTTCTTATTTTGTTTAGCTCTGTCTTGACCTTATTTTCCTTTTATTCAGTTCTTCCAAGTGTTTTTACTTATTTTTATTGCCTACAGTTTCAAGTTATAAAACTACTTGTGCTCAGGTAATCTATTCTAAGACAAAATAGTTTGAAAGGACAAAAATTAGGCCATTTCATCTGTCAGTCAAATCTTTATTTATGATAAAGAATCAAACTTAATATCAGTTTACACTGTACGTTTCACACAAATATTTCCCATTGAGTTCCACTCATGACTATTGATACACTGTTAAAAAGTCATTGTGAGATTCAACAATTTCATTAAGTATGAACACCTAAATATGTCTGTCATATATACGTCATATATACGTCATATATAAGGATCTGTGAAAAGCTTATTAGACTGTGGATGAACACCATCAGGACAAACAGAGCAAGACTGAGTGATGACAGCAGTCTGAATGCACTAATCTGGATTAAGTAATAAAAATGCTGAAGTCATATCTAGATGACTCAGCAAGCTGCCTGATGGATGATCTTTCTACAGCTGACAGATGATGTCAGCGTCCAGAGAACAGTCTGCTGTCACTCTCCAGGCGCCGTCCTCCGCTGCCATGCTGCAGCCGCTGTCCCCAATGCCTCCATCCGGCTGTCCTTCTCCCCATTTGGTGAAGGTCAGAGGTCGATTTTTCATGTCAGACTGGAAGTTCCCTTCTGCTTTTCTCACGTTGACGTTGATCCAGGCTCTTTTCTCATCTTGACCCATCAGCTGACGCAGCATGTGGTTCTCCTCCTCACTCTGGGGCAGAGCCAGCTCCAGGCCTTGTTGCTGGCAGAAATCTGCAGCCTTCTGGAAAGATCCTCTCTCCTTGTTGGACACAAAGTATTTCTGACCCACCTTCCGCACAAAGTCAAAGGTTATAGCTGGAAAAACATGCAGAAAATTTGGAAGAGATTATTTCTTTATTTTTTTTGGACAATGTAAAATAATCCTGTGGCTGTCCTCTGACTCACTGCTTTTCATCCTCTATTAACTTTGCTGCTTAGATATTTAGATGTTCATCAGACATGGATGGAAAAATGTGTAAAACCCAAAATCAGACGTGGAGGAAAACATTAGATACTCACTAACTCTAATAAATCTTTTGCTGCTCTAATTCTTGGCTGATCGAAATAGAATAGAAAACCCACCAAGGTCCAGCTTAGCGGTGATCTTCGTCAGTAAATCAGCATCCCGTGTGAAAGAATCAAAGAGCTCTGGATACAAAAGAACAAGTTTGGTCACCAAAGTTCATTTGGCTTCAGCTCAAAAATATTTTACGATAGTTTTCTCTTCTCCACAGTTATATTAACAGTGAAAAATGTCAGAGTCTTGAATTTTAAATTGGTGACTTGGTCTGTTTTACTGTTCAACTATTGTGTCAAAGATTCAGTGAACGTAATGTCATGTCATCACCTCGTCCACACACGGCGACTGGTCCAGGTCGTCCAGGTCGTCCAGCTAGTCCAGATGGTCCAGATGGTCCAGCTGGTCCTGGTATTCCACGCGCTCCTGAATCCAAAAGGAAGATGAAGAAATCTTCATAGAAAATATCTACAGTATTTTTCATTGCTCTTCACATTCTACAGATTTTTTGTTCTATTTTTAGCTCTTCAGAAAAACTTTTTCTTTGTTTTGTGAGCTGATACCCATTGCACCAGGTGGTCCTGGTATTCCAGGTGCTCCATGTAATCCAGGATCTCCTTTCCTTCCTGAATCCAAAAAGAGATGAAGCAATCTTCACTGGTGATGAAAAAAATGAAGAATTTGTCTACAGTATTTTTCATTGCTCTTTTCATTCTATAGATTTTTTGTTCCATTTTTAGCTCTTCAAAAACAAAAACTATCTTTGGTTTGTGAGCTGATACCAGGAAATCCAGATGGTCCAGATGGTCCAGGTACTCCAGGAAGTCCTCTGTCACCTTTCTCACCAGGGGGACCCGGCAGCTGACTGAGGCTCATGGGAAGCATCAGACAGAAAACACAGAAGAGAAAACAAAGCCTCATCTTCTCAGTCAAGTGTTGGATACTGTAAAAAATGAGTGAAATTTGATACTTAGTTTGAACGATAATTTTCTCAACAGAAAAGACGCTGTCTTTTATCAGTCCACACACATTTACACATTTAATCCTGTTAAAGATGAAGTTTACAGTCAGTCACATTGTGTCATGTCTTTCCAAGATGAACATCAGAAATGATGAAAAGTATTGTAGAAGTCACTAGTAAATGAGATTGTGAATGTGCTTTTTTTCTTTATTGAAAATTAACAAACATGCAAGGGTAATTTTAAAAAAAACTGCGCAATGATGAAAAAATGAATCACAAAACTCACCGTCAGAATGTGATCGTCCACAACGTGCTGCTGCTTTGCCGTTCAAAAGCCTTCTGATGTGAATGAAGATTTAGAAACATGAGATCCGGCCCAGAGGAAATGGTAGCTAGTCTGGAATGATAAACAACATACAAGACAAGCAGAGAGTTCCTGTTGTCCTGACAAAATGTCATTTCACTGTAAAGCTGCAGCACATCCTGGATGATCACACTTTCACATTGAGTTCTTGTTAGTTTTCTATCTTTCTACAGGTTTTGGTTGACATCATTTGTGCAGGACATCCTGGACACATTTTAGTCAGTTGAGCCCCCCCTGTCACGCAAAAGTGATGGAAAAGGGGCCGAGTTTTCACGGACTCGTGAATGGAGGCTGCTTGGTTTGCATTTCAGCAAGTTATTGTAGTTCATCGGTTTGAAATTGTTTGTCTCAAGGCATTGAAGGCGGGTTGCGAACCAGAAACCCACAGGGTCACGACATTCCTCTGCCACTTTGTGAAGCCGCTCGCAGAAACGCAGAATTTACATCGAAATTTTGAGTCGTGAATTTTTATTTTTTTTTTATTGTTTCATTTCACATTTACAAACTTTTTACTGATTCTTTTGTGTAGTTTATAACATATATCAGGTTAAATTAAGTTCAGAGTGTAAAATACATATGTAAATATGTATCCATCTGGGGCTGAGTGTTCTTCGCTTTGGGTGCAAAAAAAGGACTGACATGTTGCAGAAAGTCAGCAGCACCCAGCTCTGCTGCACAAAAAGGCTTACAGCACCTGGTATTCCCAGGCGGTCTCCCATCCAAGTACTAACCAGGCCCGACCCTGCTTAGCTTCTGAGATCAGACGTTTCTTTTGTATTTTTAATTCAAAATAAAACAGACAGTGCCATTATTTACAATGAATACGTAAGTAAACAACACATGAATGTTCACAAAACATCAAAAAGAGACAAATACATGATTACATCAAAAACAGTCTCACTAATCACATGTATAAAATACATTTTTAGAACATTTCTTTTTCAAAATATTTGCATTGAAAAAGTTGGCCAAAAATATCTTCACACAATTCTGAATTTACATGTTTAATTGTCTTCCAATGTATTCTTAAAAGTGCCAAAAATAAAGTCCAGTTATTAATTTTCTTGTTTTCATAAAGTTGATAGTTCCTTGTGATGTAGATAGTGTGTCGTGCTGAAGAGAAAAGAGTTGAAGGTGATGATCTGACAGCTGTCCGTGTGAATCATGAATACCGAAAAGTCTCATCCATTCCCATTCTCCGTTCTTTAGAGAAGGCTTGGCAGACATGCCTGCGATAATTTCACGAATTTTCCTCCAGACGCTGACGTGGCTGAGACAGACCACCTCAGGGTTGTTGAAGATCGGCAGCGAGACAAATGACCTGTACTTGACATATGTTATTAGTTTTTGTCTGATTTTATTCCAAACCTCAAAACATTCTGTGAAAAAGTTTTCATTTTGCATTTCTTTCAAACTCGAGATTGAACACAGATTAAAGATGTTTTTTGTGCCAAAAGATTCTAAATGTGATTTGAAGTAGTTGTACCAAAAGTGTTTATTGGACGAAGTGAGAAACCTAGAAATCAGTTTAATTCTTAATGCATGTTTTTTTGATTGGATATTTACTAACTCCACCTTCTTTATACGGTGCAATTAAAGATTTATGATTAATTAAGTTTCTGCAACTTTTTCAGATGAAGGTTGTTATTTGACTGTTGAATTTATTTAATATTTGAACTGGGACATCATAAATACTGAGCAGATAAATGATTTTTGAAATGATTAAGCTATTTATAATGACAATTTTCCCTTTAATAGGTAATTTCCTTTGCTTCCATAAATTTAACAGATTTTGGACTTTTGTGGTGGTCTTTTTCCAGGTCTTGTCTCTTGCTGCTCTTGGCTGCTTACCGAGGTAAACGCCCAGGACCTTGACTGTGTCCTCCTCCTCCCTGAACTCCCATCTCCCTGGCGTCCAAGCCGCCTCGCCACAATACATGATTACTGACTTATTTGCATTTATTTTAGCTCCTGAAGCTAATCCATAATTGTGCAAATGTTTCATGACCAAATCGATACTATTTTCATTTTTGACTGTTATTGTTGTATCATCTGCGAATTGAAATATTTTACTGATATTGCCTTGTGGTGATTTTATGCCCTCAATATTTTTATTCTGCTTAATTAGACCAGAGAGCGGGTCTGGGGTGAAGCAGCTCTCGGCCAGGATGAGGATCAGTGCCTCCAAATCCGAGGCCATGGTCCCGAGCCGGAAAAGGGTAGAGAGCCTTTTACCGGGTCGAGACCGGTGTCCTGCCCCAAGTGGAGGAGTTCAAGTATCTCTGGATCTTGTTCACTAATGAGGGAAGAGGGAAGCGGGAGATTGACAGGCGGATCGGCGCAGCGTCTGCTGTGAAGCGGGCGCTGTACCGGTCCGCCGTGGTGAAGAGAAAGCTGAGCCAAACAGCGAAGCTCTTCATTTACCGGTCGATCTCTGTTCCCGCCCTCATTTGGAAGAACGAGATCCCGGATAATATTTAATTTAAATTTTCAATGTCAATTGAATTTTGATATGTATGTTTCAAATGAACCAAAACATATGCTTAAGATGGCTGAAATTAAAATAAAAAAGCAAATGTGAAACACACAACAGCTCGATGAAATGTATTTAAATTAATTGCTGTTATATGTAAAGAACGTCCGCCAAGGTTGGCCCCCCTATATTTTTAACACACCAAATCTGGCCCCCTTTGCAAAAAGTTTGGACACCCCTGTCATAGAGCAAAACAATGATGGAGTTTCAGTTTACTACATATAGACATGTATAAATATTATATTAGCCTATACATAATATAAAATCATAAATATTATTTATGTATAATTATATATATATATATATATATATATATATATATATATATATATATATATATATATATATATATATATATATATATATATATGAATGATGTCAGTTTATTATTTATTTTATCACTGGGTCACAAATTTTGACATGTTTCACCAAAACTGTGTGTGTTTAAATGATGAAATACATTTTTAATTTGGTACATTTGTGTCTGTGCTTTTAAAACAAAGAACGTCAATTCAGCTGCTTTTCTGCATCAGTGTCAGCTGATACTGAGCCTCAGATATTGGTATCGGTATCAGTATTGAAAGTGAAAAATGTGGATCGGCGCATTGTTTACCCATACACTTACATTTTTTAATCATTTAATTCTGTTTTTTGTTTGTTATTATGATTTTTGTCATCAGAATGATAAAAATCATCACACCTTATACTTTACGCTTCTCTATTAGTCTGAGTTTCACTAAAACCATCTCATTTCATGAGCTGAACACAATAATACATCATTATTTATTACAAATTTTGCTTTGTAAATAAAAAGTTATGTTTGGTGGTTTAATCATTCAGAGCTGAACATCTCTCTTCTCAGTGGACTGACTCACACGCAGCAGGGATCACACGGGTCGGCTTTTTATTAAAGGCAAGGCAAGGCAACTTTATTTATATAACACCTTTCAGCCAAAGACAACTCAAAGTGCTTGTACAAGAAAAATAAGGAATAAATACTGTTAGAAGAAAAATAAATAAATAGATAAAATAAAATAAAGAAAATATATAGACAAAGTAAACATTAAAATTGTAATTATAGTAAAAGAGTGGGATTAAAAATTTAAGAATAGACAACTTCAAATAAGAAGGTTTTTAACCTTGTTTTAAATAAACTCAAGGTAGGCGCAGACTTACAATGAGCAGGAAGTTTATTCCATAGTGTTGGAGCATAAAAACTAAAGGCTGCTTCTCCGTGTTTACTTCTGACTCTCGGAATAGTTAACAGGTTTGAGTCTGATGATCTTAATGTTCTGAGTGGTACGTAGGGTTGCAGAAGACCGGAAATGTAGTTTGGATTTCTATTATGAAGTGCTTTATAAACTATTAAGGAAATTTTAAAGTCAATTCTTTGAGCAACAGGCAGCCAGTGCAGAGATCTGAGAACTGGACTGATGTGCTGATCTCTTTTTATTTTAGTGAGGACTCTTGCAGCAGCATTCTGGAGGAGCTGGAGCTGTCTTAATGCTTTTATTGGTAATCCAGCAAGAATGGCATTGCAATAATCAAGTCTGCTAAAAACAAAGGCATGAACTAGTTTCTCAGAATCCTGTATGGACACGAGTCATCTGATTTTAGCAATATTTTTGAGGTGATAGTATGATTTTTTTTATAATAGATTTGATGTGGTAATTGAAATTCAGATCAGGATCCATAATCACCCCTAAATTTTTGGCTTTATCAGAGCATTTTAAACCAATTGAGTGAAGGTAGGTGATAGATTTCAATCTGTGCTCTTTTGGTCCTAATACTAATATTTCAGTTTTGTCTTGATTTAGTTGGAGAAAGTTATGGCTCATCCAGACATTAATCTGCTCAATACATTTAGTGAGTACTTGAACCTGATTGTAATCTCCTGGTGAAAGACTAATGTACAGTTGTGTATCGTCGGCGTAGTTGTGGTATTCTATATTATTATTTCTTATAATTTGAATTAATGGGAGCATGTAAATATTAAAAAGAAGTGGCCCCAGGATGGACCCTTGGGGAACTCCATAGGTAATTGTATTTTCCTTGGATTTAAAGCTGCCTATTGAAACACAAAAGGTTCTATTGGACAGGTAGGATTTAAGCCAGCTGAGTACCACCCCGGAAGTGCCAACCCAATTTTCTAATCGAGATAATAGGATGTCATGATCAACTGTGTCAAATGCAGCGCTCAAGTCAAGTAAAACTAATACTGAAATTTTATTACGGTCATTGTTTAGACGGAGGTCATTGACTATTTTCACAAGAGCAGTTTCTGTGCTATAATTTTGATGGAAGGCTGATTGATGGACATCAAAACAATTATTCAGAGCTAAAAAGCCATTAATCTGTTGGAAAACAAATTTTTCCAATATTTTAGCCAAAATAGGTATATTTGATATTGGTCGATAATTGCTTAGAATAGATGAGTCCAAATTAAATATTTCCCATTTAAGATGAAAGAAATTCGTCTGTAAATATGTTCTACTCATAA